CTCCCAAGGGTCCTGGTTAGATTCATTTGGAATCTAGTTTTGCAACTGACAGTTTGACTTTTGAATGGTGAAGATTGAAAGGTGAAAGCTACTGTTTGTAGCAAATATACTCATTGTTCCTATATAAATCATAATCAGTATAAAGCAGGCATGTAATAAATAGACTGTTGCCTGGAGCAAAATGTTCTTAAGAAATTCAAGCCAAGGCCACAGAAACTGAATGGCAAATTGTGCCACTATAAATTTCACTATGCAGAGAAACAATGTTCTGTAGCATTAAGATACAATACTCCCCTACCCACTCAGGAGACAGAACATATTTGGCAATGGCTATGCTGAACACTTGCAATGTTTGCTTTTCCATGAACAAAAGGAATTGGATTTTATGTAAATCCATAGTGTGAATTATATTAAGATAAATGGACTAAAAATTCTGTACAGATTCTTGTAATTTAATTCATGGATGGAAAAATGAATGGATTAGCAACTTCAAAATTGCAGTAGCATTTTGCTGGAGTGTGCTGTGGACATTTATTTAATGACTTTTGTTTATGTTGGAGAATATAATTTTAGAAAATCTGTAGTAATTGAATGAGAATCTTCCATGTGTAGGGCTTGGGAAGTTGGTTTGTGTTGAGGTCATATGAAATTCCAAATTAAAGGGATTGCTAACTTTTATAAGTACATTGTTTCTCATAAAATTGAGGATTATTTTGTGGTCTTAATTGATGCTGTAGTACTATGCACTACTTTTCATGACCTTTCCAATGAAACAATGGTATACCACTGGTAACCTGTCTCCTCTGTTGTAACAGAAAACACCTATTTAGATTTCCTGGTAGTATCTATCATGTTATTAGCAGCGAAACTGGAAGAAGTGTTTTTTTTTTGCTGATCTCGTGCTATCTAATGTATTGGAATAATTCTAAATAAAATTTGATACAGTGATGGGAGAATTCATAAATTGCAGGAATGAGCTTCAGTGGGTCCTTCTTGCATTTTTTTTGTTCATACGAGTTGTTCATAAATAAAGCTCTTCTATCAGGACAATTTATTGTGAAATAAAAATTCTATGTCAATACAACTTCTATAATTTAATCATTAATTAGGTCAAATACAAGTTAGTAATTCATTTACTGTGTGATCTTACCTTAAGGTATACATGTGACGAGCACGCTTCACATTTCTACTAACTATTCCCAAATTAAATTGAAACTATTTTAATTGATGGAAAGTGCAATAATTGGCAGCTTGAAGCTATACATTTACTATCTTGTATTTTCTAATTTGTTCCAAAATTTGATTTAGTGGACGCCAGCTTGCTTCATATCCCCTGCCCCAAAATCTGGTGATCAGGCTTTCAGTGTGTCTGCCCCTACTCTCTGGAACTCCATCCTGGACTGCCATTAACTAACTCTCCCTTCCCCTGCCTCCTCCAGGTCTGCCGCAAGACCTCCCTATTTCACTGCACTTTTGACCATTTTTCTTCCCATCCCCAGTTCGGGTGCAAACCTTAGACTGGAGTGCCTTGGAATCTTTCCCCATTGTGAAAGACGCTATATAAATGTTGTTTTGTGTATTGCCAAGAACCAAACATGTGCATGAGGAATTGGTACCAGTCTAAACCTGTTATTTATGGAGTTGATCTCTTTCCTATCCTAGGTGAGTAATTTGTTGATATCAACTGCAGACAAGCTTGTGACTGTTGTATTTTTCTCTATTTGACACTAATGGTGGTTACATTTTTCTCTTTTTCCCACCCTCTCAATCTATTGTATTCTCTGTGTTCTGAACATCTTTTCACACATATGTATCCATATGCTTATGGTGGTACCTCGGTCTGAACTGGCAGCTGCAATCAGAATGCCCCTATGGATTGCATTGCTGAGCCCAGATTACAATACCAGATCTCAGCACAAACCAGGTATTTGAAGCAATTAGTTCAGTGTTGTGGAAAAGCAGTCATCCATTTGCAAATTGTATTCTGTAAGCTCTCTAAGTTTGGCCTGGGTGAACTGAAAGAACTATTTTCATGTTGCAATTCTTTGGCATACAGTTGTATCATTGCAGACTCATAGCCTGTCCCTTTACCAACCCCCACTTGTTTGTTCCAAGTGAACCTGTTCACCCTTATCAGATTAAATAAACTCATTCACCCTGACATGTCACTCCCAGCTATTTTCTTTAACTCTTTCAGCACAAAGTCCATTGCAGCTATCAAATGTTTTCTGTTCTTTAACATCTGCAAAAATAATTTACTGTAGTTCAGTTAGATAACAGATTTTCTCCTGAAATAACTAAAAGTAGATTACAAATATGAAGCTGTAGATTGCAAGTTAATTTTTAGAATGTTACATGCAACACTGTTCAGATTCAAATCATTTTCTTGGAATGGGGAACCCATCGTGGAGATTAGAAGCATTTCATATTATTCTCAGTGTTGGTTTACGAGTCAGAATAATAATAATAATAATCCTTGCATTTGATATAGCGCTTTTCACGTCGGGAGGACGTCCCAAAGCGCTTCACAGAACACACTGTAAAGTGAATTGACTGTACATTTGTGGGCGAACGCGGCAGCCAATTGCGCACAGCAATGTCCCACAAACAGTCGTAGATTGAAAATGACCAATTTTATTATTGTTTTTGGTTTTTGGAGGGATTATTATTATTAGGCGTGTGGAGCAAGGTTTCGCCCTGCCTGGAATTGAACTCAGGTCTCTCACTTGCAAAGCGAGTGCTCTAACCACTGAGCTACAGGACTCCACATGAGAGTGATGCAAAATCTTGGAAGCATTTTTGTTGAATTGGAATGGATCCAACTAGTTTTTCTTCAAGTCCCCAGATCATGTGCCATACTCCTGATTGTCTTATATGAAACTTTCACAAATTTGTAATGAATATTGACTTAATTTTTGAGAATTCTTCGTTCTGCTTCTGGAGTAACTGGCATAATTCCAATCTTTTTTTTATCACAGGATTCCCTTGAGTAACTTTTTAAAATTGGCCTTTAAACAATTTAACAATATATAACGTAAGTTGTAAGAATACCAGTCATTTCGAAAGTACTGCTGGTTATTTCAGATTCACAGTGCCATAATGCTATGGATTGCAATCTTGTTTAATAGGGTTTGCGGTTGAGCTAGTCCTGCACAAATTATTGAACACAGTGACTCACGATTACAAATTGTTCTTTGATTTCTAACCCCACATCCCCTCCCAGTCTTAGTAATTCATATTTAGAAGTGCCGCTGTTTGTGATAGTGGCTTGGCGGGGGAAGGTAATTTCGATATGTTACCTCAACAGACTTTTTTAATTTAGCTCAGAGGTAACTATGAAATGTGCATGAAAATATAAGTTCCTTTTTTGAGTTGGTGGACTGTATTCTGCATATTTTAACCTGGGTATCAGAGAGAAATGATGCTTAGAGTTTGATGTGAAAGGTGCTGCATAATATGCAAGTATTGTTATAATACCCTCCATCATGTCTACAATTTATTGGAACTGCTGTATTATTGCTTGCCCAACATTTTCTTGTAGGCCTCTCAAGTTCTAAATACTGTATGTCATTTGATGTACTTGAACATCTACTTGTATTTTTGTTATGTTGGAATTGTTATGGATTGGTGGCCAAGCAATGGTTAAAAATAATGAAGGGAGGGGGAAAAAAAGTCAGCTGAGATTGCCGATGTAGCCTTTTTTAGAAGTGTGGAATATATGAAATGCCATATGTCTCTTTGAAAGGTCACTCAAACAGTGTGACAAAAGTGTTTAATTGCTAAGCACTGAGGCAATGATTGAAGTTTTTCCGTTTCCTGATGATTATTAGACCTTGTGAATAAACTACCAGTGATCTTTGAATTATCTGGGCCTGATGGTACATTGCATTGGACACCAATCTTTTCCCTCGGCAACATGTTTTTNGAGTTTATTCCTGACTGATGGGAGATCTGTTGGCTGCAAGGGGCCTACATGGAATCAGTCTGGCAGTTTTTATTGGAAGTGTGCTCATAGCACAAAAATGTCACTAATTCTCTTTCTGCAAAAAATGGTGTCTGGGCAAAACTGGGCTAGCTGCTTAAACCTACAAGTGCTCCCTGTGAACCGTGCTGTAAAGCTTTTTTTGCATAATTTTAGGAACTGGTTTATTTCAACCATATATACACATTTGCACAAGCAAAGTCCCAAACAGCCGTAAACTGAAAGACCAATTAATCTGGAGGAATATTGGCCATGCTACTGAGACATTCCCTTCAAATTCTACACATGTAGAAGGTTTTATAATTACTTGTGCCATGTTAAGACTGCACTGTAATGCTTTGTTCAAATATTTATTATTACAAATAATGGTACATAAATGGGGAAGCATCCTGGAACAGAATCGAAAAGTATCTTACAGAAACCAACAAAGGGATATGAAAATCTTTTAAAGCATCAAAAAAAAATTTTTTAACAACACAGAACTAACAGAATAATAAATTATAATTCTTGCATCTGGTATAGAATCTGTCATGTCTGGAGTATGTCTTGAAGCGCTTCACAGGATTTACTGCAAAGCGGACTGCTTTGTATGTGAATGTGGCAGCCAATTTGTGCACAGCAACAGAACAAACTAATGAATAATTTTTTATGTTTTGAAATATTTTCATATAATTTTTATTTGAATTGAATTTTAAAGAGTGTTTTAAACAACAAATCTCAATACTAACATTTTAAAGGAAAATGCTAAGGTTACAGCTGTGAAAGAAAATAGGCTAAAAATCGTGTGAGAGCAATGGGATGTCACAGTAGTTATCTAAGCTGATGGTTACTTAGGGGCTCACGGTTTATTCATGTATACATTGCAGTTTTTTTAAATTTAAAATCATTTGCGTGGTGGGGAATCTTCATTGAGTAGTGTGGGGGTGAAGAGAGGTTGTAAAGTGTTTTCCAACTTGTCATTTTGTATTCACACTTGATTGATTGATTGAAATTTACATTGGTAATTTTTTTTCCATAGTCTAATGAGCATTATACTGCCAAACACAGAAAGCCAATCTTGTTCATTGTTGCTGCTGGAAAATGACTTTGATAACACCTTGGCTGGAGAACTTGAACAGGAAATGGAGGATGTCCAGGAGATTTCACAGTCTATAGGGGACAACAGCTCAGAAGGTTTCAGTGGTGATGAGAACCAGACTTCAGGAAATGGTCCTGGATCAAATGAAACAGTAACAGGTAGGAGTGTTTTTTCAAAAATGTTTAATTTAAGGTGAGATCTCTCTCACTCAATTAATTTATAATTTTAGTATGTAATGCTGTATGAACTACTTACTTAGCTACAGCTAATGGTAGCGTTCACTGGTAAAAATTATGTGCTGCTGTCATTGTAAATTCCATGAATTGATTTACATTGAGTGTTGCATTTCATTCTTTTGTCTTTGAATTGCTACATTTCTTCTTGCGATGAGATACTCAATGATTAAGCAAATCCGCACAGCTGAATGAATGCAATACTACCAATGGTTAAGTTTACATTGGGGTATAGGGTAACACTACCTCATAGGCCTGGTACGCAGCATTGAACTTGGACTTCTAGAACATCTAGGTGGTTGGCACGTCGCAATGTGTCCTGTATAGGTCATTCCACTCCCTGAATGCAGATGTCTGGTAGTTGATAATGAAACTCAAAAGCTTGGGATTACAGCTGCTGGAAGTGGGTTCACGAGCACATGCTTGTATATCTAGGGATTGGTGTCGATCGCGATTGGTATGCACAGAGGTTAGGCAGCTGCTACTGAATCTCTGCACTTGCAACTGTGGAACCATCCATCAGTTGGTAGGGTTGTAGCCAGACAAGGATTGTGTCCAGGCTGTGGGCAAGAGGATAGTGGCAATGTTATTAGACAATTCATGCTGAGTTGTGTGACTCATGAGTTCTTGGTTCCCACTGTCCACCTGGTAAGAGCTCAAACCTGCGCTTATCAGATATCTGGCTCAGTTGGTAGCACTCTTTCCTCTAAGTCAGAGCTTGTAGGTTCAAGCAATATAAAGCTCCAGGCGCTTTATAAATGGAATCTTGTTGTTGTTGTTGTTGTGGGGGCAGAGGTGCTGAATGCCCAAACACTAACGGTGGGGAGGAAGTGAAAGCGACCTGAAGCAGGCTGGTGTCCGCCGAGCGGAGGGAGCAGACAGGTTGATATGGGGTTAAGTAGTTCAGAGAGGCAGAGGGGAGTGTGGAGGGCTTTGAAGGTGAGAACGAGAGTTTTGTACTTGATTCCCTGAAGGATGGGGAGCAAGTGAAGCTGGGCAAGAATGGGGGTGATTGGTTCGTGAAGCCTGGTGCAGTAGAGGACACGTGCTGCAGAATCTTGAATAATCTGCAGCTTGTGGAGGGAAGAGTTGGGAATTCCAGCGAGCAGGCAGTTGGCTAGTCAAGCTGGGATGTAATGAAAGCATGGATCCAGGTCTTGGCAGCCTGCGGTGAGAGGCAGTGGTGGAGGCGGGCAATGTTGCTGAGGTGGGGAAAGGCGGAACAGGTCATGGCACGAATGTGGGGTTTGAAGGATAGCTGGGGGTCGAAAAAGAAACCGAGGATTCAGATTGGCTTGGTGAGGTGAAGAGTGCAGCCATGAATAGTGATAATGTAAGCGGCTGAGGATCGCAGCCGCTGGCGGGAGCCAAGCAGGAGGGCCTCTGTCTTACCAATTGAGCTGGAGGAAGTTAGTTGATGTCAGACAGACAATTTGCCAGGACATCTACGGTCCTGGAGTCAAGGGTGGAGGTGGCGAGATAGATGGGTGTCATCCGCATACGTGTGGAAATTGACCCCATGCCTGCGGATGACACCACTAAGCAGGAGCAGAAGTGGACAAACAGAAGTTGTTGATGTTTGCAATACCAAATTGTACTTTTTAGGTTGCTGACCTCCAGCAGTAACCCCCCCCCCACCATGAGCATTAGATGTTAGCCTGGCTCAGTGGTAACACTCTGGTCTCTAAGTCAGAAGACTGTGGGTTCAAGTCCCATGTTGGCACGCGGAATCACAGTCTAAACCAGGGTGGTCCAACCTTTTGGCTGCTGAGGGCTGGATGCCAGATTTCAGAAACATCCACGGGCCACATAAGCAATATTGTTGTGTTTCCCTTCCAGAAACGTAACCCGCAAGAATCATAGAGAAATCCTATGTTTGAAATTGTGTAACTGTATTGCTTAATTTCATTATATTTTAGTTACAATGCAAACTTTAATTAGACAATGTAAAAAATCATGCAAGCTTTAAAACAATAATACAGCCAGCACTGAGGTATTTGTTTCTGATTCTCTATCTGTCTGTGTCTGTCTGTCTGTCTGTCTGTCTGTCTGTCTGTCTGTCTGTCTGTCTGTCTGTCTGTCTGTCTGTCTGTCTGTCTGTCTGTCTGTCTGTCTGTCTGTCTGTCTGTCTGTCTGTCTGTCTGTTTCTGTCTGTCTCTATGTGTCTGCGTGTGTCTGTCTGTTTCTTTCTCTCTCTATGTGTCTGCGTGTGTCTCTGTATCTATTTAAGATACAGGAGTCTTGTAGCTCAGTGGTCAGAGAACTCGCTGCGCAAGCGAGAGACCTGGGTTTGATTCCCAGCAGGGCGAAACCCTGGGCAAGTTTCCTTACTCCACACGTCTGATAATCTCTCAAGAAAAAAAGCAATAAAAATTTGGTCACTCAATCCACGACTGTTTGTGAGACACTGCTGTGCGCAATTGGCTGCCGCGTTTCTCCCACAAAATATAGTCAATTCACTTTACAGTATATTCTATGAAGCGCTTAGTGTCAAATTTGGTGGAACCGTTAGTAATCTTGATTTGATTAAGCTTATTTTTTGCATGTATCAAATACCCTGCTGAACAAAGAAAAACATTCACTTTATAGTACTTTCACTGTTATCAGTTCTATCAGTCTAAGATAATTATTAAGACAAAAAATATCTCAATATTGCTAAACATTTGTATTCTGATAGAAAATTACAGTCATTAATTATGAGTGAAGAAATAGCTTAGTAATTTATTTGCAACATAATCTGATATATCCCAGTACTGTAGTTCTTATATGGCTTCTTGCAGAGTCTGGTGCTTCACGCTTAAATAGTTTTAACACTGCGTTTTGATGTGCAGAAAAAGAAACCAAATCTTATATTCATTTTCTGTCCTGCGAATTTTCGAAGCAGCTATCTCTGCTAATCACTATTGGAGAAGAATATGTTGACGTTCTTCAAAAAGAAGAGTTGATGTAGACTTTTATCAGCGACATTGTAATTAACTGCATCTATTGACCTGTATTGTAATTGTCCGTGTAGATTGACTTGTATTTGCAGTAGACAGAAACTTCTTTGCGTTTTTTTAAAGAGCTAAACAACATAAGAGATTTATTGACTCTGTTAAAAGGGCTGGACCAATAATTATTTGTCAACTCCGATTAAAAATTATAATATATCAATATAATTTTATTGTTTGTAGTTTAATAGATTCAGGTCCACAGTAGTTGGCCACATACATTTGATTCTGTTCTATTGTTTATACTATATTTAAAATGAGCCTTTTAATTTTGTATTTTTGGGGTAATATGCATCTCATAACTGCATATGGAGCTGTTCTGATTTTTGTGTATGATGCCAAATAAAAGAGTTTTGTTTAGTACATGGTGTGCTTGTTGAATCTTTTATAAACTTATTCCTGTAAATTTCAATACTGCTGGGTGGGATTTCTATTGTTTTAAGTTATTTTTATAAAGAAGCAAAAAGCCAAAAATGACAATTTTACCAGAAAATTAAGCATTCCTGACTAAAAAAATAGATTAAGTGTTTCATATGCCTCTGAGATATTGCACTGGCTGTCAATATCTCAGGAAATAATCAATGAGCGTAAAATGCTAATTCCTAAAGGAGAAACTCCAAACTAGAGCTAACTGGGCTTATGTAGAAAGTAAAGTATATCCAAGATGCTCTTCAATAATAATAATAATCCTTGCATTTGATATAGCGCTTTTCACGTCGGGAGGACGTCCCAAAGCGCTTCACAGAACACACTGTAAAGTGAATTGACTGTATATTTGTGGGCGAACGCGGCAGCCAATTGCGCACAGCAATGTCCCACAAACAGTCGTAGATTGAAAATCACCAATTTATTTTTGGTTTTGGAGGGATTATTATTATTAGTGAGAATTGAAGTATGAAATGAGAAAAGATAATTTGGGAACCTTCTGTGGCCAATGTAAAATCATTGACTTCACTCCATCTACTGTCACTGAGTAAAAATATTGTATAGCATTGTTCGAACCCCTAATTTAATAGAGCAGAAACTCAAATATTAATTTAACCCCATATCTTTACTGTATCTATTTCTAGGCCTTTTTTTGGAGTAGTTGATATCTGCTTTTCATGGGAGTCTGCCCCACATCTCCACAATCTTCTAATCTCAAATTTTCCTGGAGACCTTTTCAGTTTTAAATGTGTATCGTCTAGTTTTGCTGACACATGGGGTGAAAATCGTAGGTTGAAGTTTACTCTATTAATATAGTCTTTTAGAGCATCCAGACGCAGCCAATTTTTAAAAATTTCACCTTAATTTTGGAGCCAACTTTCTGAATGTTCTCAACTATTTCTATAGTTTGCCAAATTCTGGACACTCTAAAATGTTGCATAAAATACTCACAAAATACAGTCATTGTACTTTACAGTATATCCTGTGAAGCACTTTGAGATGTCCTCCCAATGTGAAAGGTGCGATATCAAAAAAGGATCATTTAGTATTAAATTTGACCTAGTTTAGACCTAAATTTAGACCCACAGTCCGTTCGCCTCACTTCCTCCCTTGCCTCCTTCAAGGTCGGTCTCAAGACCCTTCTTTATGATCGAGCCTTCGATCGCCCTCCCACCTCTCTGCCTTCCCCCTCCCCCGTGCTCGGGTCCTGACCCATGACTGTCCAGCGCTTTGGGACGTCTTCCCGACATGAAGGGCGCTCTATAAATGTCATTTTGTTGTTGTTGTCGTAGATAGTTTCTTTTCAGTGAAATATCCTGCTCACGTGCCTCATTTTCATGACAAGAATCACGTCACACATGGATTTTGTTTATATCACAAACCGTTCCAGCTCTTTGAGCTTCTTTTTTCACATTTGGAGTTATAGAATCAATTCATAAATCAATCTTGTTTCTCTTCTCTCCTCATTTTAATGTCTTTTTTGGAGGTAAGGAGTGGCATCATGAGTCATCTATATGAGGTTAAAATAAGTAAAACAATAGGATATATACTTTATATATATTTAGAGTATAACTAAATGGGTTAAAATTCATCTTTGTATTTGATTAGCTTTATATCATTGCATCTGGTCTGACCCACTGCATTACAGTTTCTGACAAGCAAGTAACTCCAGATCAGTAGAATTGTTTGACTCTGTACAATTATGGAACAATTACTGAAATATTGAAGCAATCTATTTTCTTTTTGATAAAAAGTGAGCCCAACCAATTCTCTCCACATGTCAAAACTATGTGAGACAGCAATGATCAGTGCTGTGGGACGGCACCCCACATGAAAGGCACTATATAAATGCCAGTTGTTGTTGATTATGACAAATTGGATGTTGGGTTATAATGCCAAATCAGTTGATTTCAGATCCCAGAGCCATGCTTAAGGTGTACAGTATTCTAGACACACCACAGCTGAAGTACAGTATAGAGTGCTTGTTGCCACTACGTGAGTGGACTGCCTCAAGAGAAAAAGAGCAACAAGGATCATCCCCACTTTTAGAGGAATGATGAGAGAAGTCAAGGGTCTTCAGGCCTCAGGGTCCTTCAGAGGTGACCAAAAGCTATACAAATGTTGAATAGAAGCAAGAGAGTAAACCCAAAATAATATTTACAAATAAGCCGAGGCACAAGTTCAATATTGAAAAGGGCAATTTTAGAACAGGTCCTTGAAATTATTTATTAACCAAAAATCATCATATTGGCACAGTTAATTACACTCTTGCCTCTGAGTCAGAAAGTTGTTGGCTCAAGACATAGGTAAGGACTTTGAACTCATATTGGCCAGGCTTGACACACTAATGCAGTATTGGGCAAGCATTACACCGTTGGAGGCTAAGCAACATCCTTTCTCTCTCTGTGACCACATCTGCTTCCTCGTACTCCTGGACTTCCTTGCTGCATTCGACACAGTCGCCACGCCACCCTCATCTGCCGCCTTTTCCCCCTCATCCACCTCAGTTGGAACTACAGTCGCCTGGTTTGAGACCTACCTAACAAACCACCTTCACTTTATCTCCTCAAACAACTTCTCCTCCCTCCCCCACCGGGTCACCTGTTGTGTACCTGAGGGCTCCATCCTTGGCCCCCTCCTCTTCCTCATCTATATGCTAGGTAAACTTCCACATTTATGAGGATGACACGCAAATCTACTTCTTCAGCTGTGACTCCAGATCCGCTGATGTTCGCTCGGCTTGTCTGGCGGACATCACGGCCTGAATGAGCGAAAACTTCCTGCAGCTTAATGTTGACAAGACGGAAGCCATACTCATTGGCTCCCATCGACACCTTCTATCCTGTGGCTCTGACCTCCTCAACCTCCCCAGCCTATCCCTCAGACTTACCGAACCAGTACGCAACCTCAGCCTCAGGTTCGACACAAAGCTCCACCATGCACAGGATCCAATTGATCCAAAACTCCGCCACGCACTTACTCACCTGTACTAAACTCTGTACCCCTATCACACCAGTTCTAGCCAGGCTCTACTGGCTCCTTATCGCCAAACGATCAATTTCAAGATCCTCACACTTGTTTTTAAATCCCTTCATACCCTGGCACCTCCCTACTTCTCCGAACTGCTTAACCCACAACCCGCTGCGTCCGCTCGACTGGCTCCGGCCTTCTGCATGTCTCTCGTGCCCTCCGTTTCCCCCATCGGTGGCTGCACTTTCAGCCACTAGGCCCTGAACCACTGGAACACTCTTCCTCTATCCCTCCGGCTTGCCTCTTCCTTCCCCATCTTCAGGCTGTGCCTGAAGACCTTCTTATTCAACCGTGCCTACTGTCATTTCCCCCTCCCCCCAGCTTGGCGTCGTGCTCCGCCACTATCAAGCACTCTGGGACTCTACCCTGTGTGAGTTGTTGTTGGAGGTGTTGTCCATCAGATGATGTCTCTCCTCCTTCAAGGCCGGTCTTAAAACCTTTCTCTTTGACCGAGCCTTCAGCTCCCCTCTCGACTCTCTTCCCCCTCCTCGATCCCTCCCTTCCCTCCCCTCACCCTGACCATTTCCCCCTCCTCGCTCCCTCCCTTCCCTCACCCTGACCATTTCCCCCCTGCTCGGGTCATGACCCAACTGTGCAGCGCCTTGGGACGTCCTCCTGACGTGAAAGGCGCTTTATAAATGGAATCTTGTTGTTGTTGTTATTAGCTGGATGTTAAAGAATCCATGGGACTATTTGAAATGAGAAGCGAATTACTCTGAGTGTGCTGGCCAGCAATCCCCCAGATTCAAATCAGTCGTTCAAAGTCATTCACTTCATAACTGTTTGTATAACATTGCTGTATGCAACTTATCTGCTGTATTTGCCTACAAAATATAATCATTAGACTTTACAGTGAATCCTGTGAAGCTCGTTAACTCGTGCTACTACCATGAAAGAAATTATATCAAATGCCAGGATTGTTTTTATTATTTACCAGATGGATGGTTTGTACGAGGATGATGTTCAACTCATGAGAGGTATAATGAGAAGGGGGTATTGTAGGTTGATGAGATCAAATGAGCCAAAGAGCTTCTTTATCTGAACCTCTCTTGTTAGCTTTGAGTTACAGATATGCCTGGCTGATTATTTCCGATTTTCCCTCTGTGACAAATTCTTCCTTAGAGGAAGATTTTTTTGTATGGAATAGGTAATAATCATTTTGGATAGGTTCAAAAAGCGTTATCAAAGTCTAAAGACAATTTTTGGCATGACTTCAGAGGCAGCATACCTTCCTTGGATTGTGTAAACCAATGAGCCAAATCACATCTAAGTTCAAAACAACTTAATGGTTTGGAGAACAAGAATCCCCAAATAAAAAAGGGCATATAATGCATACTATTTAGTGTATGAAACAACAAAAATGCAGAGAGCTCCAAAATATGGCTATATATAACACTGGTAATGAGTTGGCTAACTTTAGCTTCAGTGGGGAAGCTGGAGCAAATTAAGTACCTCTGTTGTCCAATTTATTCAGGTTAACATTACCTGAAAGATCAGTGGTATTATAACGATAAATAAATAATTACCTTTGGTATTGCACTTTTCACTCAGGAGGACTTCTCAAAGTGCTTCACGTGATATACAGTAAAGTGGAATGACCTCATGTGTTTAGTGGGCAAATACGGCAGCCAATTTGTGCACAGCAATGTCTCACAAAGAGCCATGAAGTAAATGAACAGTATTTTGGGGGGATTGTTAGAAACTTCCTTCTCTGCCATAGGATCTTTGACATCCATCTGAACAGGAGAATGGAGCCTCGGTTTAATGTTTCATCCAAAGGACAGCACCTTCAACAATGCAACACTGCACTGGAATGTCAACTGAAATTGTACAAGTTCCAATTCCTGACATGGGGCTTGAACCCTTAACCTTCTGACTCACAGAGACGAGAGTGCACCCAACTGAGGCAGGCTGACACAATGATATTATTAAACAATACAATCACATGGTCAGTTTATGGTTTCATTGTACCATTCTGTGGAAATGCTGAGCAGAGGCCAGATACCTTCCCATGTGGACAAAGGGAATATTGGAAAGGCCAACTTGTCACCTCACGGAGGATTGGGTCACCAGATCACCTACTTGTACATTGGGACTGACGATATGTTTGCGGTCATGTTTGTGTTAGAGGCTCTGAGTGGGTTTCATGAGCAACTCCACATTATTTTAAATACCTATTTTTAAATAATGTATATATTTTGTAAAGTTATGCTGGAACATCTCTGACAGCAGGAGCAAACTGGAAGTGTGAAATATCCTCTTAATTGTACTGATTGTACTGCTGTAATCTTATGCAAATCTCTGTCATTATTTGTTATTTTATATGTTTAAAAACAAGGCTGAAAAAGAGACAAATAATCACATGGCATTTGCTTTTATTTTGCACAATTGATTAATCACATTTCTTTACTTTATTTTCTCTCTTCCCTCCCATTTCTATTTTAGATACTTTAACCCCTGCCTCCAGTCCATCTTCAGTAAACTTCCCTGTAGCATTGTTAACCCAAGATGAAGCTTCCACCTCAGGGCTAAGTGTTGAGTGCCGTGTGTGTGGGGACAAGTCCTCTGGCTTCCATTATGGCGTACATGCCTGTGAAGGCTGTAAGGTACGTTTAATCTGATTCCCACCTTTTAGGGATCATTAGAATCAAAGTTTAATTTCTCTCCGGCAAGTGCATAGTGAAGCTACCTGGAGCTGTATGTGTGATGTATGAGGGTCTTGGCGGCGTGTGGTCTGAGACAATAGCGGAGCCGGCTGATCTTGCGAAGGTGGAGAAAGGTGGAGTGGGTCATGGCAAGGATGTGGGGTATAAAGTACAATTGAAACAATCGCCCATCTAGTTTTGTGTTTAAACTTCAGGACAGTCATCATTTCAATATAGATATTGTATTCTGTTGAGGCCTTGCTACACATTAATCTCTACATTTTATTTTGAAGGGATTTTTTCGGAGGACAATTCGATTGAAGTTGGACTATGACCAGTGCGAACGCAATTGTAAGATACAGAAAAAGAATCGCAACAAATGCCAGTATTGTCGTTTTCAAAAGTGCCTTCTTGTGGGAATGTCACACAATGGTATGTAAAGCTATACTTTAGTTTTTAAAATGCAGAACTGCAGTAGATTCAGAAAGCAACCAACTCGGTTTTGAGTTCTGCAAAAATCAAATAAGATGTATAGTTGTCCACTAGGGTGAACTGATTTATTTAATTTTATAAAACAAATTCTAATGATCTTTGCATTTGATATAGTACCTTATTACTTTGTCAAACCCTCTCAAAACACTTCACAGGATTTACTGTAGAGTGTTCTTACTGTTGGTAGATTTTTTAGCAAACAACAGTTAAACATATCTATATGGACTCACACCTTACACATCGCAAAAAGGTTTAACAATTTTGGCAGAGACCAACAGCAAATTGCATTTATATAGTGCCTTTCACATCAGAAGGATGACTCAAGGCCCTGGACAGTCAAGATTTTGCACCTGAGCTGGTGATTGGAATCAAGAGGGATTGAGGGCAAGGGGGATGAGGGTGAGAGAATGACTGAAGGCACTGGTCAAAGACAAAGATCTTGAAACTGGCCTTGAAGGAGGCATGGGAGGGGTGAGTCAAAGGGACTCAGGAAAAGGTGGAAAGGCTAAAGGCCTGAACACCGATGGGCAGGGCGGGGAATGTGGAGCAGGTTAGTGCCCCCCCCGAGTGGAAGAAACGAGCAGGTTGATGAAGTTTTAGTAGGTCGCAGAGGTTGGCAGGAGAAGGTTGTGGAGTGCTTTCTAAGTGAGGACAAGGATTTTGAACTCGATCCTCTAGGGGATGGGGAACCAGTAAATCCGGGCAATAATGGGGGTGATTAGCTGCTGGGGCTCCCGTTCAAAGATTGCAAATAGCGAAAACTTTTTGTGTGAGATTTGATGACTTTATGAAGAACTCAGTTGGCAATAGTGTACAAAAAGCTGAAGGCAAAGTAAAGTCCAGGTAGAATACTCACTCTAGCGGTATAACATCCTTACAAATAATCAGTTGCTCTAACTTTGTCACTAATGAAGAGCAACATGCTACTCAGGGTGGCTACAGTCATTTGAACACCTCTGAACTACCTTGGGGGCTCATCTTGACCCATATGGCAAGTGGAAAGAATGATTTGGGCTTTTAGGCACTGTACAGCGTCACTGCTGCATACTTTCTTTTCGAAGGATCAATCATTCAGAGGCTATCAGATCTGGCCCCCAGCTCCCAGGCTGGCTACCCTTAATGCAAAGGAGCTTCCCACCCTTCCTTTGTTTCCCCTCAACGTACACTGAACCATCCTCAGATATATGCATCTTTAGCCCCTCCATGACAGCCACCGTAGTGGCCTAGGTAAGAAGGAGGTGACAAGTTGCATGGTTTAATTTTGTAACATAACAATACTTTACACTAAGAATACTGCAACAATTACTAGAATGAGCGCAATTATCCCTAGACAAACAACAAAATTAGTGTGTATATAAATGCTTAGAAATTCCTATATTCTACCAGGTCTAACTTAAAGGTTGCTGTTGTTATCAGTCATAAACTATCCATTATTTTAAAAAGATTTTTCTTCTGCCTATGCAGCCATTCGATTTGGCCGAATGCCACAATCTGAAAAGGAGAAATTGAAAGCTGAGATTCTGACACTAGAGCAAGATGTACAGAATTCACAGATGGCTGATTTGAAATCCCTCGCGAAACACATGTATGAGGCCTACCTAAAGAACTTTAACATGAACAAAACCAAAGCCAGAGCTATCTTGACAGGAAAAGCTAACAACACCCCAGTGAGTATGGAGTTGTGTCTTTCCTCATTCATTTAATCTCCGTGTACAAATGAATAAGCTTTCATAAGTACAAATTGAGATGGAGGCATACTGTTAGATTCCAATGCAAACACTTGTTTCTCCTCTCCTTGTACAAAACCTGGATTTGGGATTGCACCACAGGCATTGTTTTCCTTGTTGATAACATGAGTTCACCTAGCTGGTTGGATTGAAAACTAGCTCAGTCGTAGAATGCAGAAGGTAATGATAAAGGACATGTTCCTCACTTATACTGATAGTATCATATAGACTGCATGGCTTCTGCAACCATCCATTGATGGCATTGATATGAAGAAGTTGGTTACCATCTCGTAAACTTTTCTTTTGAAGTTTTGTAAGTAAATGTTATGCTTATGCAGGACGTGGAGTCCTGTAGCTCAGTGCTTAGAGCACCAGCCTTGCAAGCGAGAGACCTGGGTTTGATTCCCAGCATGGTGAAACCTTGGGCAGGTTTCCTTACTCCACACGCCTGATAATAATCCCTCAAGAAACAAAACAATAATAATTTGGTTACTCAATCCATGACTGTTTGTGGGACACTGCTGTGCGCAATTGGCTGTCGCGCTTCACGCACAAATATACAGTCAATTCACTTTACAGTATATTCTGTGAAGGGCTTTGAGACGTCTAGAAGACGTGAAAAGCGCTATATCAAATGCAAGGATTATTATTTATTATTATTATTACTTAGTGAAGATGTTGGTGCTAGAGAATCTAATTGTTTTCCCATTATTTGAATCCTGCATCAAGCACTCCCAGGTCAGTAGTTGCACGGGTTAATAATAATAATAATCCTTACATTTGATATAGCGCTTTTCATGTCTTCTAGACGCCTCAAAGCGCTTCACAGAATATACTGTAAAGTGAATTGACTGTATATTTGTGGGCGAAATGCGGCAGCCAATTGCGCACAGCAGTGTCCCACAAACAGTCCTGGATTGAAGCGACCAATTTTTTTTGAGATTATAAATAATATAATTATAATTTAGGTACAAGATTTGTCTCAGTGATGTTAGGTTAATGCAGTGCAGTTCCTTTTGCACAGCCCCAACACTCCACCAAATGTCTATCACCCTCAGAACATTGCCACCTACTGATATTATTTTGCACACCAACTTATTAAATTTGGACAGGATTTATTTCAGATCCAAATGATTAAAGGACAGTATTGTGCTGTTTGTAGTGCAATTCGGCCTTGAAACCTTAGGAAAATATTACACATTTGAATCAACCAATATTAGATTTAAGAATATATTTTTACCAATTTTCTCCCTTCCTGAAGATCCTTGGGTAGAGTTATTATATTTATATCTAGAAAGGAATAAACTACAGGGTATGGGGAAAAGAAATGTAAATGGGACTAAAAGGATTGGGTTTTCAAAGAGCCAGCACAAATACGATGGGCCAAGTGGGTTTCGTTCTTGCTGTAGATTTCATTGGGACATTGGATATCGGGTGAGAAGAGATTTGTGTTAAGCCCCATACATTTGAGTAATCTAAACTTAACTGTGAAAAATGTCCACTTTGGAGAGGTATCAGTTAGTGTTTGGTTGCTATTGACCTATATTCCTGTAGTTTAGTGGTTAGAGCACTCGCTTCGCAAGTGAGCGGACCCGGGTTCGATTCCCGGGCAGGGCAAAACATTAAGCAAGTTTCATTATTCCACATGGTTGTTTGTCGATTGGCGGATCGCTTTACCGGGGGTAATCTTCAAAAAATGAAATAAATAAAAATTATTTGGTCACTAAATCCACGACTGTTTGTGGGACACTGCTGTGTTTCACCCACAAAATATACACTCAATTCACTTTACAGTATATTCCGTGAAGCGTTTTGAGACATCTCGATTATGTGATAAGGCGCTATACCAAATGCACGTATTATTATATTCCATTAAGGCTTGTTGGGGCGAAAATTGAGGGGTAGGGGGGGGATAAAACCATTCACTGAAGAATAAAATGTGTTCTTATGGTAACTATTTTTAAACAAACTTACAGCCTTTTGTCATCCATGACATGGAGACCTTATGCATGGCAGAGGAGAACTTGGTGTCAAAACAAGCTGTGAATGGGATGCAGAACAAAGAAGCTGAGGTTAGAATTTTTCACCGGTGCCAGTACACATCTGTGGAAACAGTGAGAGAACTGACAGAATTTGCCAAGTGCATCCCTGAATTCATAAGCCTGGACTTGAATGATCAAGTGACCCTATTAAAATACGGAGTTTATGAAGCCATGTTTGCTATGTTAGCATCCATTATGAACAAGGATGGGCTGCTGGTAGCCTATGGGAATGGTTTTATGACTCGAGAGTTTTTGAAAAGTCTGCGGAAGCCATTTAATGAGATAATGGAACCCAAGTTTGAATTTGCCATGAAGTTCAATGGACTGGAGTTGGATGACAGTGATTTAGCTCTCTTTGTGGCTGCCATCATTCTCTCTGGAGGTAAGAATGAGTAACATTTGGAATGTAAGATTTTTAGTGTAGCATATCCTTGATGTGTTGCTTTCACTTCTGTACCAACTATTTTCGAAGAATGTTATACCTTGACTATCATAAAAAGTAAGTAATCCTACTAATTTGACAGAATCTACAGTAAATTGTAAAAGATGTGCTTTGTCAGAGACATTTCTTTACAAAGTGCACCACAGATCAGTTTGACTTCACTGGACAACAAAAGATAAAGTTGGGTAATTTATACTGCAATTGTGCTTCATTATACAGTTTGAAATTGAATATCAGTATAAATATGGACTTTGTTGATATATTGCTGTAGCTTTCTCATTCTTACAGTATTGTAAGGTAACGTGAATGTCAGTGGTGACAAAAGCAGTGAACTGAAGAGTTTGGTTGTGGAAGAAGATAGTTCAGAAATTATTTTCTTACAAATTAAACGATAAAAGTTAAGGGTCAGCCAGATTGACATAAATTTACATGAATTGCACAGCACCAGGCCATTCGGAGCACTATTCTGAGTTAATGTTTATACTCCACAGTCTGCATCCACTCCTTACTTCCTGTCACACCCTTCTGTTCCCTTCTCCCTCATGTGTATATCAAGCTTCCCCTTAAATGAATCCATACATCTGATTCAACCACCGCTTTGGGCAGAGAGTTCCGCAATTTTCACTCCCCATCTGCGTGAAGTAATTCCTTCTAAGTTCTTTTTTAGATCCCCCAGTCACTATCTTATAGTTGTGTCCCCTGGTTACAGATTCCCCAAAAAATGGGAACAGCCTATTTATGCTAACCTTATCAAACTCTTTTATAATTTTGAATACCTTTACTTGGTCTTAAACGACTCTTCCCAACAAAAAAGGTCTAAACTATCCAGTCTATCCTGATTGCAGTAACCTGCCAGTCCTGGTATCATCCTAATAAACCTATGCTGTACGCTTTCCGTTGCTGCTATATATCCTAATTGTGGTGTGGCCACCAGAATTGGATACAGCTCTCCAAATGTGATTTATAGAAATTGAACATTACCTCCTCACTTTTATACTCTACCCTCTGGATATTAAGCCCATTGGCCTTTTTATGGCCTTATTTACATGTGTTGTTACTTCTAGAGATTTGTGGATCTGAATCCCCAGATCTCCTTGCTCCTCTATTTCTCTTAGGTTTCTACTATACCCTGGAGTCCTGTAGCTCAGTGGTTAGAGCACTCACTTTGCAAGTGAGAGACCTGAGTTCAATTCCAGGCAGGGTGAAACCTTGGGCAAGTTTCCTTACTCCACACGCCTAATAAAAATTTCTCCAAAACCAAAAATAATAATAAATTGGTCATTCTCAATCTACGACCGTTTGTGGGACATTGCTGTGCGCAATTGGCGGCCGCGTTCGCCCACAAATATACAGTCAATTCACTTTACAGTGTGTTCTGTGAAGCACTTTGGGACATCCTCCTGACGTGAAAATCATATGCTATATCAAATGCAAGGATTATTATTATTATCAGCCGCAATCGGCTTTCTTATTTTTTCTGCTGAAGTGAATTCAATATCTTTGACTCCAAGAAATTAAAATTCTTTGAAAGTGACATTACCAAAGTCAATCTGCTCAAAAGTGTTTTCTTTAAAAATACTAATTTTGTCTTGAATTCTTAGAATGTTGGTTCTTTAGTGTGTTATAAATAGAATACATGATGAAGTGCTATGGGATACAAAAAGCATTTCATTTTAGCTCAGTAACGTAAAAGTAATTATGATGGAGCTATGTTAGCACTCAATGTAGTTGTAAATAGCATTCAGTAGCTCTTTAAATATTCTTTATACATCATGTTCTGATGTACCAGAGTTCTGGATGATCTGCAGCCTATGGAGGGAGGAGTTGGAGAGGCCGACGACCAGGGAGTTTGCGTAGTCAAGCCTGGATGTTATGAATGCGTGTATGAGGGCCTCGGCAGCCTGCGGTGTGAGAAAGTGGCACTTCTCTTCAAAATATTGAGGAGAGTGGGAGAAAAGTGAACTTGGTAGATTGTAAAAAAATAAATTAGTCACTCAATTTACGACAGTTTGTGGGACACTGCTGTGCACAATTGGCTGCCGCATTTTGCCCACAAAATATACAGTCAATTCACTTTTACAGCATATTCTGTGAAGCATTTTGAGACTTCTCGAAGACATGATAAGGCGCTATAATCAAATGTAAAGATTATTATTATTGTGTTTTGTCATCAAAACCGACTAGACTGCGAATTAAAGTTAAAGATTCCATGGCACTATTTAAATAAAGGAATTTCTCCTGCTGTCCTGGCCAATAATCCTCCAGGTTAATAGATCATTCACCTCATAGTTATTTGTGGAATTTTTCTGTTTGCAAAATGGTTACATTTGTCTACAAAAATAGTCAGTATACATAAAAGTAATCACTATGCACCACTTTTAAGTCATTTTGACATTATAGGTGCTATTAAAAAAAACTTGCATTTTTAATAAATCCAACTGCTGGCTAGCCAGAAATTTAATAGAACAATCAAAGTCCCTTTCTTAGTATAGAAGTTAATAAAATCCAATTGAATCATTTTTGTCCAAAGCATTTGAAGCCCAAACAATATTTGAAGGGTGAATAAAGCGGGAAGTTGTTTGCTTAGAGCTAAACAGGCTGCATAAGATATTAGTTCTTTATTCCTGGACCACATTATCGTATTTTACAAAGGTGTTTTAATTGATAACAAGATGTAAAATTAAATGATTAATTGTGGTCTTGATTGAAAACTGAGAGAAGGAGAACTACTTATGCAATACATAGTAATTAATTTTGTAACTCCCAATTGGATATGGAAATGTTGAACATAGAAATTTTCTGCACAGAAGGTCATTTATCCTATTGAGTTTGTGTCACTGCTGCCACTTTTCTAAATCACCTTTTTTATTAATTTTACTTTACAGTTTTCTCCCCTTATCATTTCATTTTTATATTAATGCTCAAATCCTTTTTCACTTCTCTTTTGAGCGATTATGTTAATTCAGCCTCAATAATCACAATTTCCATCAATAAATATATTTTTTTTAACAGATCGACCAGGTCTGGTGAATGTGTCACAAATCGAACAAATGCAAGAGAGCATCGTTCAAGCACTTAGACTCCACCTGCATAGTAACCATCCAGATGCTGCCTACCTGTTCCCAAAACTTCTTCAGAAGTTGGCTGACCTCCGGCAGCTGGTTACAGAGCACGCTCAACTTGTTCAAAAGATCAAGAAGACTGAGGCAGACACTTCCCTACATCCACTTCTGCAGGAAATTTACAGGGATATGTACTAACACTAACACAGGCTCAAAACTGTATCAGAGTTCACAAGCTTGTGGCACTACTCCAAATAATTAAGAGTGCAAGGATTGCTTGATTAATCGGCAATTGTTTGTTCCGTTGCTCTTCACTCAGGTAACTATAACACAATTGGCTGGGGAAATGCAATCTGGGATTACATACTGTACCTTACCTTATTAAATGTACAGGAATTGATTTGAAGTAAATTGGTTCATCCTTCATGTAATACAAATAATGCACTACATTTGTTTGTTTATGATTGAAGCATACGTTTAATTCAGATTGTTTTACTGTCTGAACTGGTGTCTTTCCTTGATCAAAATCTTAGAAGATATCAGATCACAAGATGGAAATGTAAATTTGTTGAAAATGTTATAATTACTGTATCTTTTAATTTGACCAAGAAAGGCTTGGTATCCTAAGAGTGAATTAATCCAGAAATGTCAATCATTGCACTCCTAATAATGAACAAGTGTGAAAGAGTCCACTATTTTTTCATAAACGTCACAAACTCAAAGATTTAATGCCATATTGTCCTTTACGTTTCAAATAAAATGAGAATGCTCATTATATTTGAAGTCAGATATTTTTAGATGTGATTTTAACAAACTGATGTAAACTGTATACCTTTGTATATTTTGCACAAAAAGGGAAAAGCTACAAATTTTGAACAGCAAATGTTTTGATAATTATGATAGTCCAAGACAATTCAGTTAAAACAACAGTTAAAGAGAGATCAAACCCACTATTAATTAATTTAAAATAGAAGGATTATGATGCCTGGCTTGGAAATGCCTTCATCCACATTGTGGTGAGATTACTTGGATTTTTGGTTTTAGGGGATACTGTTGAAATTCTAGTTTTCCTACAATGTTTAATTTTCCATTCAAAACTATTTTTTAAAACTATGCTTTTTCTTAAAACTGGTAATTGACAAGAATCTTTGACATCAGCATGTGTTAATTACACACAGTGCCTTTAAGGATAACTAATCCTTATTTTTTTTTAATTATTGATCACCTCCCCTTCCCCCACCTCCTCAGCTCAGGCTCCCAGTCAGCTGTGTGAAGTGCTTCCTGGTATAAATGTAAATTGCTGTTGCCTTTCTCTCTTGATTTTGTGTATGTACCAAACAGCAAAAACTTCCAAATAGAGACGAGCAAATGCATAGATTATGAGACAATGCTCATATCGTGCAATCTGAACAGGATAGATTGCACATGTAACTTATTTTGAAGCCCACGTTGGAAGTACAGTAAAGGTTGCAATTTTAATACAAGGCATTTTTTTAAAAAAAGTTAACGTTCATAATCTAATTGGCAGATGAGTTGAGGAGTGGAGCAGTCTAAAGAATGCTACGTGCGCTACTGATTAATATGCATTATAACACATGATTTGGGGATTTTTTAATGTTTTGGAGCTAGATATCTATGTTGACTGAATCATTGCTTTGTCAGTGCTTTCATCTTATTTGTTTTCTTCTGATTTCAGAATAGGATTTAGGAATTGCAAGCTACAGATTTTCTTTCTAAAAAGTAAATGAAAAATTGACATTTATCTGAAAGAGGAGAAATTAATTTAATAATCTATAGCAAATGGTATATTTACCTTCAGCAATTTCAGAAGAGCACTGCCTCGCCCCATGGTGCCCATGTTTTTAACCTTTATTGACTCGAAGTGTGATATCAGATGATTTAAGATAAAATATAGAATCATAGAATTATTCAGCACAGAAGGAGGCCATTCGGCTGATCGTGTCTGTGCCGGCTCTTTGAAAAGAGCTTCAAAATCAATCCCACTCCCCCGTTCTCTCCCCATAGCCCTGCAAACTTGTCCTGCCCAAATAATTATCTAGTTCAAACATTTTTTATTTAATTTCATTTTATGAATCTACAAAACCAGAGTAACATTTGTAAACAAATTTATGGTCACAGTAATATTACTTTCAAATTCTTTAATGCCTAGGGAAGATGTGTCAAAGAGAAGATTGTGCAGATGTCACAAAATGTTTAGTTTAACTTGAATTTCCTTTCCTTTGGTACTCCCTGTGAGAATCCTTAGAAAGGACAACCGTTGTTCTGTTCAATGGATGTTCTATAAATGAGCAAAATGTGTGTAGTTATGGACTATTCCTGACTAATAAATAATTACAGAGGGGGAAGAGGGAGATGTCGAACTTACGTAAATGTATCACGATAATCCACCTCTTTAACCACCCTGAATACAAGACACAAAATGTCATTTCACATTTTGAAGCAGTTGTGGCAAATATTTCATGCTATGAGAGGTATGTGATTTCTAGAAGATTAGCATGAGTTTTACTTTGTTGCAGTAAACTATGAACAGTATATTTGTCATTAAATCATCTGAGTAGCTGCCGGATTATAGAATTTAGAAGCATTAGATGTCAGGAATCCTATTTGCAAAAGAGGCCCAGAAATTTAAAGATAATTTTAATAATACATGGCAACTTCATGTTTTACAATGCCTCTAATGGACATGATTTAATGACAGGTCTCCCGTTGAATTGCATTGTAACCGTTCATATCAGTGTATTTTTCTATCTTTCCAGTTACATTTTATCTCTTTTCTATGACATTTTCTTCTGACTTCTGTGGTATTAAGCAACCATTCCTGCTTCATAAAATAGGATTTTTGTGGCCCATAAAAGTAATGTCAACTCCTAGTTTCTGAAGTTTTCTATATTGAGGCAATGTGCCATATCTGATTTTATGTGAGTAATAAAATCTTCAGGGAATATAAATATATATATATATAAATCTATTTTTTCATATAAAGTTTTAAGCCTGGTGTTCAAAAATATTTTGGATGTGTATTTCAGCAATGCCTTTTACAAAAAGTCTAAATTGAGGCATGCATAGATTTTATTGAATGTGTGCTTATCCTGCACTTGTTCAGAACAAGAGCTCATTTGGGTTGAATTGTTAATGTCAACCTAGAATTATGGAGGTGTGATGCAATAATTAAACCATTTTTAGTGCCTATTTCATTGATCTTTATCCAATTTATTTTGATGTGCAAAGAAAAATTATTTTAAATAGCTAGTTTTTATTGCATAAAAATTAAGATCTGCAAGGGATTAATTAAAATCTTTATTGTAATGCCTTCACAAGTTCCTTCATCAACAAACCATAAATGTGGTTTGTTCACAAGAGAGCAAGCAATTTTTGGCAAATATGACAAATATTTGTAAATATTATAATTTATTCCAGAATAAACAAGTAATCAATTCTGGTATGAGATGAAATGTTACCTAATTTCTGGATTAAAAGATATCATGAAATCATTTCATAAGGAGTAAATTGTATGTGTGTGTATATGGAGAATGAGGGAGGCATAGTAATCTTCTTAACACTTCTGCAATAGGTGCTACGTTTATGTTAAGAATGAGTAGATGAACAATTTTAATAAGGTAATCTGTTAAGTGAGACGACTGGGCAAAACTCAAGGCTATCAGATCCTACTCACATGTTCCATGTGTAATAAGGAGGTGTTAGTTCCAAACTGAAATAAAACAAATAAGATTCAATGCAATGGAATACCCACAAGTTGGGGCAGCAGTTGGATGAGCACTGCTACTTGTCCTCCCAGGTTTTACTCCAGAGTTCCCAATTTGAATAAAATCTGACAAACAATAAATCAAAACTAATTTTACCCATAAGAGTAGCATTTTGGTGAATGCTTCTCTTGTGAGGGTGATTGGTAAGTGGCATCAACATGGTTAAAGTTATTTCTTAAAGCAGCTGCAAATGCCAATACTTATGAGGTTATTTCAAGTGTTATCAAGTGTATTACTACCAGGTAAAGCAATGCAATTCAGTAACCTTTCAACTTCTCAGATTCAGAGGAAGTGAATTTAATTAATCTGTGAATTAAATAATGTATCAACCAGTCTACATGATGAGACTAGTTATCTAAAATAATTCTGGCTAGATAATGTAACAAGGTACGGCATGGTCTGTAGTATTTGCAGTTGGTAAATAAGGACCATTAACTTGGTTAATGGGGGATAGAATCGTTATGCCAGGACTGGACCCCCAAACCATGTTTCAATAACTGTCCTCAACAGGAGCTTACTGTTGTCACCCAATATTTGTAGAGTGGTGAATGACATATACTCCTTTCTTAACAATGTATGACTGTTGGTTTTATGGATTTTTGTTTGTCTGTGTTGGAAATCAAATCAAATATAAATTAACTGAAAAAAATGTGGGACTAGTGAATTCTTTCACACATTTACTGTGACCAACATTAACTTGCAACTAATCAGCAAAAACATGTATTAAGAATGTATGAACTGAACTTTGTGTTCTTGGTATAATTTCAATGGTATGATCAAAATTGTACATTCTTTTACAAAATGCCCTTTCTCAAAAAAAAACTGGCTTCAGATTTGAGGCTTATTTGTTACCTTAATTCTTAAAGTTTACTGTAACCCTACTTGGTGGGTTGGTTGCATAAAAATCATATTTTTACTACTAAAACAAAAGCAATTGAAATGTTTGTGACATGTAGTTCAATATTTTTTAGAAATGAAGAATTGAATTTGACATGTATTTTGTCACTCCCTAGGGTATTCTTCTATAAGCACATTTCTTTCTTCTAGCTGACTTGAAGTGAAGATAGGAAATTAAGACTGACCTTTAGTGCAATTTGAAAATATCTATAAACTTGGATTGGGTATTGTGGGATTAAATTAAAGATAACAATACTATTTCCAATTTTGTTCATCATTCAATATTTCTTTGTGTTCCAAGAAATTTTAGTGAGTTCATTTTTGATATTTGTTATTTCTAATCTTATCTTCCCAGGTTTTACTCAGAGTTCCCAATTTGAATAAAATGTGACAAACAACAACAACACAACAACTTGGATTTATATAGCGCCCTCCACGCTGGACTGCGTCTCAGAGCACTTAGAACTATAGATCAAAACTAATTTTACTCATAAGAGTAGCATTTTGGTGAATGTTTCTCTGTGAGGGTGATTGGTAAGTGGCATCAACATGGTTACAGTTATTTCTTAAAACAGCTGCAAATGCCAATACTTATGAGGCTATTTCAAGTGTTATCAAGTATATTACTACCAAGTAAAGCAATGCAATTCAGTAACCTTTCAACTTCTCGGTTTCAGAGGAAATTCTGAAACTCTGTGGACTAATCTTCTAATCTATATTTTCATATTTGTTCTTTCTAATCTTTGGACCTAGAGCAACATAAAATCTATTCCTCTTTTAATGTGTAAGCATTTGCATTTAATGGAACAGGTGGCTTCTGTAGGGTGGCCATAAACATCACAATTTCTGCATAGCCAAAAGGAAGTTCAGGTAGAGAATTAGGTTTCATCAATTTAAATTTTATTTGATGCATTTTACATGTTATTAAACTAAACAATGTTTCTAAATAAATTAGAAAATTACTCCTTTGATGTATTATTTTTGAGAAACGTTTTACAAGCAAATTTCTACATTTTAGCACTCATTTTAAATTGATCCACACTCATATATTGAGATCAAAAATGCAACAAATTCAGTAGTCATTCAAATAAATGTGCAGATACAATGACTTTTTTTTAAAAAAAGTTTAGATTTACAGTTTGTTCAGGTACGTGTAGTTATATTTTCCTCAATCTTGCTTTTGTGATTAACAAACAAATAATGGAGTGAAATAAAAACAGAAGTTTCTGGGAACACTCAGCAGGTCGGACAGCATCTATGGGAGAGGAAAGTGAGTTAACCTTTCAGGTCAATGGAGTGATCTGGATTATTCTGCATAAACCGATGCAACTAAAATTTGTGCTTGTTTGCAAACATATGACTAAAACATTTTTTTCATCCTAACTGCCAGAAACTGGTGAATACAACAACACAATACAAATTTACTTTATATAGCACCTTCATGTCAGATGGATGGCCCAGGAATAACCACAAGGATGAGTTTACTTCACTGTTTTCTTGGAAGCCCAGCATTACAAAGTTTCAAGACAGTCAAGGATACCAACTAAACTGTCTTCATTTGCTATCTTTGTCCTAAGGATCTCAGGTGCTGTGGACTGAAGAGAAAGGAGTATAGAGGGAGAGAGTTGTAATTACTTGATGCACATTACACTGAAACTTATCATTTGGTTCAGATGGTGTCTGCAATTTAGAGGAGCTTTGCTTAACCAAACATTAAATTGTGCTGAACTGATGGATCAGCAGCAAGTAATTAACCCACTGTGTCTAAGTGAACCCATTGCCTATAAATCCAGTGTATGACCCAGCAAGCATACAAGATTCCTATTGAATAGCATTACAGAAACATACGTGATAATGATACCGTTCACATTACCAAAAACTACTGGGAGACAATTCTACTCCAGGTTTGATAAAGTAATGCATGTTTTTTTCGGTTAGGGCATTATTTTATCTGTTTTTGTCTGTTAACTCTTGAGAATTTTAAGATTTACTACTGGACGGAATACTGTTTCAGTTTCCTCTCATCCTTGTGGTTATTCCTGAGTACTACTACGCTAGAAATATTTTTGTTTCTATACGTGCAATTCATGGCGCACTCTGTGTGGTGCTTTTTCCAGACTAGCCTTTTAAACTTGGACTGCATTTCAAGTGTTCATTGTGTTACAAAATGAATGAAATTGCACAAATATTGTCAAATATGCTTCCACTGCATACAAAGATAATTCATAGCGGTCTTCAAGTATCAAATTACTCTGCCACTCGATACAGTGCACTGTGTACAGAACATCTACATATAATTGTGGTCTGGTTGAATATTTTGTTTTCTGCATATACAGAATTTCAAATGGTTACTTAGTGCATGAACACTGCAAACAGGAGTTGCTTTTTGTGCTGAATACCAGAGCCAGAAATGTGCAAGAAAGCTGTAACACTGTCCAATTGTTTGAATGACACTCCAAAACGAACAAGAATTGAGAGATATCCACCCCTCCTGACACAATACTGAAGGCCGCAAAACATTCAACAGGCACTATTTCAGAGAACTAGGATTTCAAGTAGGTTAATTTTATAATTAATAAATAATTCATAAATAATTAATCTTTTAATTCATAATAATGGTTACCTTTCCAAGTTTTTTGTTACTTAATTCAACTTTAAAGTACCAAGGCAGAACTTAAATACAAGTATAGAAATAGAATAATCATATTCAAAAGAACCTTGTGGAAGTGGCCCAGTGGTAAAGCATCACATGCTCTGTGTGACGAACGAACAGGAAGATGACGGTTAATGACTACCCTTACCTTGCAAATTTCAGATTTCAGAGGGGTTTTCTGGTGAAGGCAGTGATTTCACTCTGCACAAAAAAAAGCCTGATGCAGTCAAACTAGGTTTTGATGATACCCAACTCTATCTTAATGTCTAGGAGTTTGGTCAATATTTAATATTTCTTAGATAATGTTTTAACTGGGGCACTGTAAAATGCCACTGGCTAAAAATTAGGAGTATGCTATCTATACACCAGGTTTCCAGACAATTACAGGAGAACTTGAAAGTTTTTTTTATGCAGAGGCAGAAGAACTGTGATATCTCTGAGATATATAATTCCAGGCCTGCTTGTTGAAGCCTGTAATGGAGGATTTCATTAGAAACTGTTGTTTTGCCTGAGGTTGAATGAAGTCCGTAATACTAGGATAAACATAATTTTCCTAATGGCATAGTCTTAAGTGAAATAAAGTTGATAAACTCAATTCAGTTTCTACATCACAATTTGGCTCTGAAACTTTGTTCTTACAAACCACAGGGTAATTGGTTTCATATGTGATAAATGACACCAGTGGAATCATGGAGCAATTATGGGGGTGGGGGTGGGGGGGGTGAGCCCTATTATTGGGGTAGATTTGGAAAGATTTTCACTCTGTAGCGCAGTTGGCTCTCAGAAAACCTGACAGTGCTTAATGCTTGCATTGGTGTCAAAGTGGAACATTTTCCACAGGGATATTCCTCATTTAACCATATGTTCATCAAAAAAGTGAGTGCTTACTGTACAGTATATTTTTCAGAATAACAAACTGACATTTCCAGTCATTCATACAACCCTTGTGTGACAAAAACATTGGCATGGATATTTTAAGGAATGGTGTCTCCTCTCAGAGAAAGAAATTAGATTATAGCAGGCACATCCTCATAGTCCCCATTCTGAGACTATTCCTAAGATACTTGTAGAAAAACCTGCTTCACCGGTGCTGCTACACAGGTAAATATGTTGGTGTACATGTTGGTGTACATGTTGGTACAGATAGTTTGACACCAACCTTAAACTCAATGATATCTTGAATACTCATGTTTTTCTAGACATTGAATGACAGCAGCTGCATGACTGGAGAATAGCATGACTGAAACAGAAATGATTCATTTACCTGGGGCCTGAAATTCTATTCTAACCTGCAAGACTATTTTAAAGTTTAAGATTGCGCAGAATCGTGGAAAATTGTTAACTAGTCTTAATTTGCAATTGATTATTTGCAAATAAAGACCTAAACCTCCACCACATTGCCCTGGCCAGGACCTCCACCTCCACCACATTGCCCACCTTTGTCTGTACCTCATTCCAAAAGCCGCCGAAACCCTTGTCTACGCCTTTGTTACCTCCCGCTTTGATTACTTATCAGCTCCCGCCTCGCCGGTCTCCCCTGCTCCACTATTCACAAGATTCAACTAATTCAAAACTCTGCCACCCGCATTTTCACCGCACTAAATTCCGTACCTCCATTACCCCAATCCTTGTCAAATTCCATTGGCTTCCTGTCACAGAGAGGATCAATTTCAAGATCCTCACTCTTGTACTTAAATCCCTTCACGTCCTGGCACCTCCCTATCTATCCAACCTGCTCTCTCCCTACATCGTTACCCACAGCCCCCACTCAACTGGCACTGGCCTCCTCCTTGGCCCTCAGACGCTCCATCCTACCATTAGTGACCGTGCTTTCAGCCACTACGCCCAAGGCTATGGAACTCTCTCCCTCAATCCCTTTGTCTTGCCCCCTCCCCATTTTCATGTCCTCCTTAAAGACCTTCCTCTTCAAATTCCTATGGTCACCTTCACCCTTCCCCTGGCTCCGCATTGGGCTCCACAATTGTTCAGCGCTCTGAGATGCAGTCTGGTGTGAAGGAAGCAATAAATAAATGCAAGTTGTTGTTGTCTTAAGAATACCTTTTAAATTGTGATAAAATAGCACTGATAGAATAATACAATAACAGCAACAGATATGATTGCATTGATATCCTAATTTCCCTTCCTATTAAACATTGTAAATCTAAATGGTAGGAGTTGATGAGCAAATAGTGATAATGTATAATGCTGTGCAAACTTTTGGAGTTTATTCAATTACCTTTGCCAGTTCATAGGAGCTTTACAGATTTTGTTTTTCTCCTTTTAAACTGGCCCAGGTGAGATATAGTTGCTTCTGCAGATCATTATGTAGCAGTATTACAAAGTTGTTTTGTTAAACAAGTATTTAGAAAACTTGTGTACAAAAGTAAATCGATTATAGGTTGTGTTAACCATCTATAAATATAGCACAGTTGTAATTCATTAAAGGGAAACTGTACTGTACCTGTACAAGATAAAATTAAAAGGGAAGTTTACAGCCGAAAACGTAAAACCCATTTCCTTGAGTCAATAATGTATGATTTTTTCAGGTGTGGTCATAAAGAAGTGGGACTGATGCATTTTGGGTTTAGTGCCCCATCTGGTGGTGGGGAACACTGGAACTGATTGGATACATGATTGAGCATTCGAACAAAATTCCAATGGGTGAGATTGAATTTTGAATGAATAATTACATATCATTAGGAAAAAATGATTTTAATTTTTTGAACTGTATTGTTAGTGAAAACTAAGAGCCCATATCCCTCAGATTACTCGACTGTTACTATTATGTTTTTAAATATGCAGTTTACACAGTATGATGCAACACAACAAGGCATTTATTGATTGAAGTACAAGATGGCTATGCATTCAATGCAACTGGTGTAGTTGGCGTTTGGATGATCAAGACTACTTCCGTTTGCCTTTATCAACTTGTAAATATAAATTTTAAATGTTTAAAATTTATTTTATATTGTAAATTTAAATTGTAAATAAATATGGTAAATATTTATTTACCAGCTCGGGTCTGAAACTCTGTCTGTCCAGCGCCTTGGGACGTCCTCTCGACGTGAAAGGCACTATGTAAATGTAATATTGTTGTTGTTGTTGTTATCTTTGTTTAACTGGACAAGGTTTTTTTGTCATTACTAGGTTGATATATAGATTATACAGTTCTCGCCCCCCCCCGGTCTTGTTGTGGACTTTCTTTCGTTGCTACCCCTACGACACGACTTTTCATTCTATTCACATTGTTATGACATGGAATGTTATGTTGTTAGCTCTGACATCTACTTTGGAAGTGATCAGGTTTTGATAGTTCTTTCTGAGATCTTGGTTTACCGGGGAAAGACTGCTCAGAAGGAAAGCTGATATAATAATAATCCTTGCATTTGATATAGCACAGTATCACGTTGAAACAGGTCAAAGTGCTTCACAGGATTTACTGTAAAGTGAATTGACTGAATATTTTGTGGGAGATATTATACTGTACAATGAATTCACATACACACTCTTCAGGTGGTCTATTTATTTTATTCTTTTTGATGTTTTTTTACTAAAATAAGGATTTTCTCCCACAAGGAGTTTTTATTTCCGGATGCATTATCTGTTCAGGTGCATGTCAGATCTCAGCAATGTGTTCTAAGTATCAGTATGCAAGCCTGAGGCTACATTTGGTGATCCTTTTAACTTTCTAATTCTCTGTGCGCTCTTCCTTCTCGTAGTAGAGCTGAATTCTTGTCTCCAAGTATTCTATCTAGAATGTCACTTTCCTCACCAGTACCACATCTCCTATTACCGCCACATCAGCTTCAAATGGGCAACAGAGTAGCAACACCACCTCCTGAGTAAGAGCAAAAGGAATTGAGGGGAGTGGACTTATTGTTCTGTCCCCTTCTCTTCCCTCTCTCTCGACCCTCTCCCAACCATAGTCTACAGTATCTCTTTCTACAAAGTGGTCCAGCCAACAACCTCCAAAATACACTAAATGATAGACACTCAATAGCATCAGTCAATTTTGCAACATTAGCACAAATCTTTTTGTTCGGACCAGCGATCTATCATCAGAGCTATGGGGGCAATCCTCTTTCATGTAAACTTCACAAAGACTGCTCTTGAACTTGCTCCACATCTCTGACCATTTTCAAAGTTTTAACTAGGTTGTACTCAAGAATTAGAGAACATTGCTTCATAACCATGGTGAAAGGGTATTCAATGCAAAACTGGACTTTGATTAGGTCGCCATATTCAGCCACTTCACAATGTAGTAGTTTTTCTTCCCAACACGAAGCAGTGATAGGCCATTAGATAGAATGTGCTGCCCCAAAACCAGCACTTGTTCTGCTTTGGCTTCTCGCACATGGTTTATCCAAATTCCGCCATTTGTTATTATCTGATATCTGCAAGGAAAGAATCAACTTTTTTAGTGAATTCAGACTTTTATTGAGGGTCACCAGTCACCATCGGCAGAAAATCATCGGTTCAGGAATCACTTCAAGCTGTCCAGTGACAAAAAGGCATTAAGACAGGCCCAGTGTCAAAATCCAGATTCGATGATGTTGGGCTGCACACATTCATGCCAGCATGCGTCACTGCCTCTCAAATTCCAGAGAGGAGAAAATGTAGTGAAGACAGTTCATACTGCCAGACTGCAAGTGCCACCTAATGCAACCACACAGTACTGTCTCTGTTGTAAAGCTGCATTCATTCCCTGTGCAATGCACATAGGAGGCTGCTGCAAGAATTGTAAAATTCACAGGTACAGTTCAGAGAGCTTGACTAAGTTTATCATTAAGCCAGATTGTTAGAGCAGGTTCACAGGAGTAGGCCTGCTACATTTTTCAATGTTGTGATGGGAAGGAAATTTGCTGAGAAATAATGAACGTATTACACAAGTAGGGCAGCACTGGTGGGGTTTCGGCTATAGCACTGATTGGGATTATTTGAAAGTTGATGAGACACTATGGTTTGCACTGGACACGTACCCTGTGGGTCCATCTGGAATAGCATTAGCTTTACGACAAAGATCAAGCACTGATGTCCCAGGTTCGAGTAGTATCTCGGAGAAGGGGGCTTCTCTGAATAGCTCTTGAAGCTCCTTGTCTGACATCGTTTCCAGGGCAGCCACACTGCTCTGATACAGGGCATTTGTGCATCTGTTGTAGACAAAACCAATTACAATCAGGCCAGCACAATGTGTTGCACATCCCCTTGTTTTGGATTCCTGTTGTCATCCCCAGTGTAGTTTGTCAATTCACCTTCATTGTTTTAAATGCCTCAATCGGATCATCTATTAACTTTCTGAGCTCTAGGAAATATAGCACAAGGTGGCCCAACCTGTCAACACAGCTAAAACCCTTCACGCCGATGAATCATCACTGGGAGCCTTTCAGGGCTAGCAATTCTTAAATTTGGGTACCAAAGACTGAACGCAAAACTTCAAAGTGAGGTTCGAACAATATTCTATATAATGGCAGAATCAATTCCTTGTTAATGTATTCCAGATCCCTTGTTGTAAGGCCCAAAATCCATAAATTATTTTGCTCCCCCCTCAAACTAGCTTTAAACAATTTAATGTCTTAAACGTTGTTCACCAAGCCTCCTATTGTTTCCCTATTTAAAATGCATTTCCATCCACTTTGATTAAAATCAATATATGCTTCAAACTTAGCTTATTGAACTCTGTCTTTCATAGTCCTCTCCACCACTGAATTGGTGTATGTCACTTTGCAATGTTCTGCTCTCCACAATTTATGACACCATCAGCAAACTTAGATTTGTTCCCTTGTGGTATCCAGGTCATCATTTACGTATCAGTAACTGAGAATGCTAACTCACCAGAGAGGCAGAACCTAGAGAGAGAACTGGTTTGGTCAGTATACTTACTTCTTGGCAGACACAAGCCCTTCTTTGCCATGAATTAGTTTAGTGACTTCTGCTGCGAGTCGTTTTTGAGCAAGCCGCTTTCCAGGATCTTTCCTGTGGTTATCCATGAGATTTTCAATCTCAAGAAGCGGAATGAAAGTGAAAAGTTTCAGATACCTAAAGAAATCAAAACAATTGTTTTGTGAACGACAGAAATGGCTGAGTTAAAAGATCAGACGTTGTGCAAAAACAATGATCAGCTATCTTATCTTAATGTGGGACAAGATCACGAGAATCTTCGATCCTTCTTAAACCCACCTTTAATGGTAACCCTTCCAGCTATTGACTACTTTATATGTAAATAATTACTTAACGGTAACTATCCTAAAACTAATCAACACAACCATAAACTATTGAACTGTAGCATTTATTTCTGCAATTCATTTATCATCTTATCTAATGTAAGGTCTTCTCGGAGAACCAGGTTACATACATACAATTAGGTCATCTGTATACCATCCCAGGATTCAGACATCTTTTGTGAGCGTATATCAATCAGCAGGATTGTGATGCACACATATCCAAAAGTTGAGAAAGCCCTAAAGGGGATAAATATGTTTATTTTCCCCTGGAGAATTGTTTTTTTATTCGATTGACTTTCCCCAAATAAATCTTGAGTATTTATGGTGACACCAGGAGAAGCTCCCTTCTTTTTTGTATAGTGCTATGGGATCTTTCACGTTCACCTGAACAGGAAGATGTAATGTGTCATCCAAAGTATGGCACCTCCAATAATGCAGCACAACCCCAGCAATGCACTGGGGTGTCAGTTTAGACTGTGTGAGTCAATGTGGGGCTTGAATCAGCAACCTTCTGAGACAAGAGTGCTACCAACTGGTCCAAGTGGATAGACAGTTCCTGAAAGACTTTACCCTTGGCACTAGAATGGTTCACGCTGCAGGATCAAGGGCCAGAGAAACTGCATTGGATGAGATGAGTATGTCCAGATACAGAAAGCGAAGCACAAACAACTGAAAAGCAAGGAGGACGCACATACCTTTCCATATTGGAATCTGGCTGTCTGACAAAATACTGGTACAGTTCAAAGGGTGAGGTCTTCTTGCTATCCAGCCATACGGCATTTCCTGCACTTTTACCCAGTTTATCACCTGAGGTGCTTGTTACCAGAGGTATTGTGATGCCATAGACTTCTTGCCCAGTTACCCTAACAGATGTTTATGGAAAAGAAATGAGAAAATGTGAAACATTCCATCAGAAGCCAAGAATCTAAGCCATCACTGCATCTCATCCTATGCCCTCATAGTACCTCTGGTGTGATCCTTTCCAATGACTAATCTACAAAATACCACTTGACAACAACATTCACATGCATGGTGTTCATTTCCAATATAGAGAACAACACTATTATATCACCTGACTTCCATATTGTCCGATTGCCCCACATATCACCTTGTGCACAATATAGGATGGATATCGTCACTTCCTGCATGCTGTGCATGCATGTTATTCGCAGAAAGTATTGTTAACATCATTTCCTGTGCTTTGGGCAATAAGTAACATTATCAGTTTCCTGCATGTAATGTGTGTGTGTGTGTGCAGGAAGTGGCCTCAGCAATAAACAGACAATCTGAAAGTCATCCTTTTTTTGTGCTTCACTTTTGTCACATTCTCTGAGCTATTGGACCCAGATGTCCAGCTTTATAATGGGGGAATCCTGTACATTGATACCCAACTTCACCTGACAATCTCTGTCCTTAATTTCAAGACTATTGCTTATATGACATCAAGCCAGATTTCTGCTGCTGAATGTTAAGAGGACTCAAGACTATATCTTGTTAGGGTCTGTCCAGTACCTACATGGGTCAGCATTTTGCTTGCCTAAATTGAACTTCCAACTGCACATTTAGTTCATCAACCTTGAAATATTATTCACTTATGCCCCATTGCTGCTGTAACCGTTAACCATGATTAATCACAACCTCAAGAATAGATTTACCAATGCTACCCTTGCCAGCATCCTGAGCTTTACTCTCAACTGATCCAGAACTCTGCAGCCTGAGTTTTGTCCCACATAAGGCTCCACAAAGCTCTATCAGTTCCCATTAACAGTACTGGATTAAATTTAAGATCTTTGCTCTGTCCTTGTATTTCCCTGTATGGACTTACTCTACCTCACTTGCGCAATCTTCTCCAGCTCTCTATTTCCACCCTGTGTACTCAACTCTCGCTTCTCCCCATGATCCGTCAGTCACTATACTAAAGTCACCGGGAATTCTCTTCTGAAGCCATTTGCTTACTCTTCCCCCACCTGTAGAAATCTCTTAAAATAGCTGGTTCAACTGGACATATTGGGTGTGGCAGTTTTGTCCGGCTTAAGAGGTGACTTGAGGTTAGCCGAAATACCATTCCTGCCCAGCAGAGGAGAGGCTGTGGCGCCAACAGCACCATATAATCTATACTAATAAAGACAAAATGTCTGTTTGTCTGTCTGCCAGTGACCTAATTTATACCTTGTCGGAAAGGTCTTGCATGGGGCGTCTTGTACATATTTTTTTTGGGGGGATCTCCTATCGTTGATAAGCTATATTAAAAAATATATTTAAAAATGCTTTAATTAAGCCCCCCAAAAAAGTATGCATGGTATTCTACAACACAGTAGCGACATACCCTTCTAGAGAGATACATTTATATTAATAAGGACAAAATGTCTGTCTGTGTGTCTGTCTAACCGATTAACGTAGAGTCATCAACAGGAGTCCTCCCACTGAGGCTTCCCAATTAGGAGTCCTCCCACAGCAGTGCTCCCAAGGCCTCCAACTAAGCCCTCCCAACAGGAGTGCTCCCACTGAGTCCTCCCAACAGGAGTCTTCTCACAGGATTCCTCACAAAAGAATATGTGTGCAAATATTTGAACAAGGGATACTAACGAGTTCAATAGCACATTTTCTTAATCTTAAGGGATAAAGATGTCTAAGGAGCAAAGATCAAGCCTTTCAAGGACAAATAAAAATGCCAGATGAAAGAGAGAAGGCCGATTAAATGAAACTGGTTGTAAGCGTGGCTGTAATGGGTACGGCTAGTATATGATAATGCTGTTTCACTTGAAGCAATGTTGATTAATCAAACAGCATATCAAGTATTTTAACCTAGGAGTTCAAAATAAAATACTCTCATGGGATTCAGTAAAATATAGTAAGTTTTGTTTGGCTGCAAAATAGCTTCCTTTCACCCATTGCTACTGTGATTGGACAGGAAGGGGACCAAATAGCAGCAGCTCCTCGGTAATTGACAGTTTTGGAGTTGCTTGTGAATGGATGGGCTCCAGCTGTTCACAAACTGCTCCAGCCAGTGGGCAGGACTCAAATCAATCCTGATGTGACTCCTCCCTTGTTCCTACCCATCCCCCACCCCCCACACAGATTGACAACCCAACTCCAGCCACTTGTGAATGGCCAGAGTCTGCTGTCAATCAATCACAAGTAGACTCCTCCCATCTCCATTCAAGATACAGGAGGCCAGAGCAAGTACAATCAGCGGCGACCAACGGGCATTTTGACCGGATTAACTGAACTTTTATCCGAATCAAGCGGCATATTTAAAACAGGTAAAAATACAAATGAATTCGGGTTGGGCATTTTGTTTGACTTAACGGAGTTAACAGGCGGCCGGCTAAAGCGGTTTCCACTGTATAAATAATAATAATATAATAATCCTTGCATTTGATATAGCGCTTTTCACGTCGAGAGGACGTCCCAAAGCGCTTCACAGAACACACTGTAAAGTGAATTGACTGTATATTTGTGGGCGAACGCGGCAGCCAATTGCGCACAGCAATGTCCGACAAACAGTCGTAGATTGAAAATGACCAATTTATTTATTGTTTTTGGTTTTGGAGGGATTATTATTAGGTGTGTGGAGTAAGGAAACTTGCCCAAGGTTTCGCCCTCTGCCTGGAATTGAACTCAGGTCTCTCGCTTGCAAAGCGAGTGCTCTAACCACTGAGCTACAGGACTCCAATGTCCTATTTTCTTATTCAATGCATTTGTCATAGTGTTTTTTATGCAACGCATTTATACACATTTATACAAATGCAAGCTGCTGTTGAGTACTGCTCAAATTATCCACAAAATATATACTTGGGAAGAGAATTTAAGATGGTCTACTTTTGAATAAATTCATATCCAGACATCAGGTTGCCCAGTTGGTCTGTGCCTCCCAGCTGGATCCTGCAGCCATAATGTTGGTTCAAATGATAGAAATCGTAAGCTTGGAAGAGCTGATAGGTGAACTCTGTCAGGCTCATGCCCTCGGCGCTCCTCAGGCGGCTCTGCACACTGTGCCTGCTCAGCATGGTGCCCATGCGGAAATGTCTGCCCACAGTCTCCATGAAATCCACCACCTCTTTGCCCTGGTACCAGGACGAGTTGTTCAGGATGTAATGTGTGCCCAGAGAGTGAACCTGGTCATCGTTGCAGAAGCAGTGGCGGTGGTTGTGGAACACCTTCAGGATGTCCTCCTGGACACCTCTCGCGTTCTCCTCGATGCGGGAAGCGTCCAGTGGCTGCCTCTCGCTGTTCCGGCCGGACGGGTCACCCAGCCGCGCGGTGGCTGCCCCCAGCAGTGTGAGGACGCGGTGTCCGGCCCGCTGCAGGTGCAGGAGGCCGATGAGTGCGAGCAGGTTGCCGACGTGCAGGCTGTCGGCGGTGGGGTCGAAGCCGCAGTAGACGGTCTGAGCACCCGAGGCCAGGAGCCGGGGCAGGTCGCCCGCCTCCGGGAAGGTGTCCTTAAAGATGCCGCGCTGGTGCAATGAGCGGATGTTGCCGCTGCTGCTCCAACGCCTGGGGGCCGCGGGGCCTGGCGAAGCCGCGGCCGAAACCAGAGACCGGCCGCGCCGGAGAGCGGCGGCTCCTCTGGCCATGGGCGCCGCCATGACACCACCAGTGCATCCTGGGTATCCGCGCAGCCCCAGCCCCGCCCCCCCAGTCACCGTCACTGTGCGACACAGGGCGGCCCTCGGTGGACAAACCGCGGGGCAGACACCTGACCAGACAGCAGTGTCAGTGGTAAGCAGTGTCTGTGGGGGTCGATCTGCTCAGACTCCAGCAGTTACCCCCAACGCGCACTCCGGGGTCGCCCACCATCGGCTGTTGCCAACCTGCGCCTGGAGAGAGCGCGCATTCCCCACCATCCACCTCTGGGATTTCCACGGTGCCGGTGCCGGTGCGACGCGTGGAAATCTCAGCTCGGTTTGGATACGCCTCAGCGCGGTGACGGGTTTCCGCGCGGGTCAGACACAATCGGCTGACCCCCCCCCCCCCCCCAAAAAAAAAATATGGTGTCCCCTCCAGCCCCTGTTCACTCTCATTCCGGTCTGCCGGACACTACAGGAGTCCTGTAGCTCAGTGGTTAGAGCACTCGCTTTGCAAGCGAGAGACCTGGGTTCAGTTCCAGGCAGAGGGCCAAACCTTGGGCAAGTTTCCTTACTCCACACGGAGCCTAATAATAATCCCTCCAAAAAAACAAAACAATAATAAATTGGTCATTTTCAATCTACGACTGTTTGTGGGACATTGCTGTGCGCAATTGGCTGCCGAGTTCGCCCACAAATATACAGTCAATTCACTTTACAGTGTATTCTGTGAAGCGCTTTGGGACGTCTAGAAGACGTGAAAAGCGCTATATCAAATGCAAGGATTATTATTATTATTATTATAACTGTTTGCCCACAGTTCTCTCCAGGATATCTTGAGAAGTGTAGGAGGTGAACCCAAGCTTGAATTCAGTCATGGTTTGTATCATGCCTGCGATATGACCATAATCTATTTTCCTACATTGTGTTTTTGCTGGCAAAGTATAAAGACTGCCCCAAACATTTTGCGCGGAGACCAGATGCAGGCAGATAAACTTTACCACAAAGAAAACCAAGGAAAATAGATTTATTTATATACAGGACAAAAACACAAGCAGGTGACAGTTAAAAACAATAATAATTCTTGCATTTGATGTAGCACCTGATCACATCTTCGAGACGATCAAAGCGCTTCACAGAATATACTGTAAAGTGAATTGACACTATATTTTATGGGCAAAACATGGCAGACAATTGTGCAAAGAGGTGTCCCACAAACAGTCGTGGATTGAATTACCAAATTATTATGTTTTTAAAGGCATTATTATCCCTGGAAAATGGACTACAAATCGTGTTCCTACTTACTGATAGGTAAACATATGTGTGTGGAGTAAGTAAACTGGCCTAAGATTTTTCCCTGCGAGTGCTCTAACGAAAACACTACAGGACTCCACCACCATTGATTCCTTTCACCAAAACCTCGATTGCTCTCCTCCCCCACCCAGCAAGTGAGGATGTTGTGCTCTGAGACATTACCCTATGGAAAGGATGCTATTATAAATGCAAGTTTTTATTATTTGTGCCGAAAATATAAAACCTGGTATCGTTGCTCTGGATGCTTCCCACTGTCTCTGTTTGTAAGGATTACTAATATAAAGCACTTCATACGTGGTTATTCATTGTGTTGGAGGGTGAGTTTCATACTTGGTGACGGTCACATTTGTGTAATCCTGCAGCTCAGTGGTTAGAGCACTCGTCTCTCAAGTGAGAGCACCTGGATTTGATTCCTGGACAGGACAAAACGTTGGGCAAGTTTCTTACTCCACACGTCTGTTTACCTATCAGTAAGTAGGAACCCAGTTGTTAATCGATTGGTAGATCGTTTTTCCGGGGGTTATAATCCTTTCAAATAAATAAATAATTTGGTTACTCAATCCACGATTGTTGTGGGACGCTTCTGTGTGCAATTGGCTGCCGCATTTCGTCCACAAAATATAGTCAATTCACTTTACAGTATATTCTGTGAAGCACTTTGAGATGTCTGGAAGACATGATAAGGCGCTATATCAAATGCAAGGATCATTATTATAATCTTTCCCCCTCCCTCCGCACATGGATGCAGAGATGTTGAGATCAAATGTTCTGCAGCACTGCTCTGGCGATTCGCTAAGTTCAGACTCTCATTTAACCAATCCCTTCGTGGTATGTCTTTTTTGGCCATTGTGTTTCTTAAAGCTGCAACAAATCTATGTTGCTGTTTATGGTTTGGGTACATCTTTCTCCATTTTTAGTGTTTTGTGATTGAAAAAAAGTTAATTAATTTCGAATGGTCGCTGTTATCTCTATTCCAGATGCAGTCAAATGAGGAGCTAGAGCAAAAAGGAGTGTTTGAATGCAAGTTATGTGGCCTCACAGCTCCATACAGCTACTATGGTCAGAAACCACCAAATCCCCATTCCATTGTGTAAGTGACTTCTGAAATTTTTATAAAGTAATTACTTCAGTCTCTGCACATTGACTACCAATGGCTTACACACATATATGATAATCCTTGCATTTAATATAGTGCATTATCACATCTTCCAGACGTCTCAAAGCGCTTCACAGAATCTACTGTATGTTTCGTGGGCAAATATGTTTGACTGAGTTAAGTATTTCTATAGATTTACACCTAATGTGCAGCACGGAAGCAGGCCATTCGGTCCAACTTGTTTTCACCAGTGTTTATCTTCCGCATGAGTCTCTACCCATTCCTGACTCCCTCCCATACAGTTCTATTGGCTTCTTCCTCATGTTTACATCCAGCTTACTCTTTAATGCATCTATATAGTATCTGATTCACCACCCCTTTGGGCAGCGGGTTTCACATTCTCACTACCCTCTGCATGTGGTTCCTCCTAAATTTTCTTGTAGATTTGTATAGAGTAATTCAAATAATCCGAAAGTGAGACATGAGGGTCACATGCAATTTTCACATAGAACCTTGAATAATAATAATAGAAATAATCCTCATTTGTTTAAACCTGTCATTAACCAGATGTGAATCATGCAACAACAAATTGCATTTATATGGGGAGGATGTCCCAATGAGGATGCAGACCCTTGGGGTCTCTGCTCCGACATGCAGGGAATGAGATCAGAGTGGAGTTGTTGCAGGTCATGTTTTACATTTTCAAAGTTGAGCCTGTAGAGAAGGGCCTGTGGTTTACATTCATTCTGTGTGTGGGTTAGTTTCACAGCTCTGAAGATGTGAACTCATGTTTATGGATTATGTTGCCAAGGGGAGTATATAGATAGTAAAAAGGAGAGAACCGAGGATAGAGTGTTGAGGAACACCACATGTAGCTGTGCAAGGAAGGGAGGGGAAGCCATTAATTATACTTGAGCAGGTGTCTCTGAGGTAGAAGGTATTTTCTGTAGTTTAAAAGAATTACTTGGTCATCGGAAATTAAGGCAGTTGTACATGAGTTAACAATTAATTCTGGTCAAGGAGCAGAACTCCTACTCTAAAATGCTTGAACAATGTCTTTTTGCCATCAGGTTGTTGGAGAAATGCTACACAATGAAAGATCCTTTCACCCCTGATAAAGACAAATTCCTCATCCTGGGTGCCCATTGCCATTTGTGCAATACAACCGTCTGTGTTGGACAGGTAAATATGACTGAATACTGTTCCTTGATGTACTTTGTGTGTCGTTGTGCATAGTTTTTTTTGTCCATTATTTCTTTTATGATTTAGGAATGCAGCCTTTTCTATACCAAGCGTTTTTGCATCCCCTGTGTGAAAGAGAACTTGGAAGAATTCCCTAAAGAGATTCAGTCTGACTTAGAAAAAAAAGAAAAAACCCAGGCTTTGAAGTGATCAAAATACAAGTCCTCAGGTGGTCAAACCAACAATTTGGGTATGTGTATAACTGCAGAAGGATGGTTCAAGCAGTGTGTGAAAATACGACTTTACATTAAAATAGTGAAATGGTTCACTACGTGCAAGTGCTCATTCCCTTCACTTAGTCAACCCTGGCATTCTCCATGTTCTCCGCTCTATCCATCCCACCATCGGCAGGCAGGCTTTCAGCCACTCGGCACCCACTCTCTAGAACTCGTATTTATAGATCCTGCTGACCTGCTCCCTCCTTTCCCTTTCAAGGTACATCTCAAAACATACTCTTGGCCCATGTTTTCTGCCATTATTGCCTTTCAGCACTGTCCAAAATTGTCAATTGGTTTGGCATGTCCTCCTGACATGAATAGTTGTATTGTATGCTAATTCCAGTACATCCTTTGAAGCACTGTGAGATGTCCTCCACATCTGCAATGCCTTTATCAAATGTATGATTATTATATCTCAAAAAAATTATATCAGAAAATGTGTTTCTAAGTGTTATAATAACTCTTTTTTGCTTGCGTGAAACCTGTACTTTGTTGAATACAGATCAGGAAAAAATAGGGAATGTAGTTGAATTTAGATTGGTAGGAGAAACTCTGAAAGTGGTTTTAATGTCAATGAGCTGTGTGTTTTAAAGCTCTGCAGAGTCAAGTTCAGTTACTGATGGGCGTTGTAGGGAACATCAGCTATTTAAATAGGCCAGAACTTCAGATAACCACGAAGACTTTAACAATTTGATGAAGTCCTTTCAAATTGTGAGCCCACCAAGACTGCTTTAAGGATGGGTTCACAGCAGAGTTTAGGTAAAAATGTTTTTAGATTGAGGAATTTCCCTTCCACACAGAGCTTAGCCATGAGGGGCAAAGAATATAAGACAAGTTACTTTCTCATTAAGCTTATGCAGTATGGGGCATCATAAAATATATCCAATACTTAAAGGGGGAAGATTTACAGCTAGTATTAATTACCTATGTGCAATTTCTGGAACTTTGAATTCAAAGAGGAGTATAACTTTTTGGGGGAATTTCATAAATTTCCTTCACAGTAGAATATACAGTGGAAAAGATAAATATAAAATGAAAATTCACAGAATACTCAGATTTCTGCTTTACCCTACCGTTCACAGATTTTAGAGTTAGAGTAAATCTCCATTAGACCTCCCTATGGTGTGTCTAACTATAAGTGGCTTCTCTACAAACGTAAAGACCATGAGAAATGTATCTTTTCAGGTCAAATATACCTGAAAAGGTAGGCTAGGGTCACACTGTATGTCACACTGTGCTGTTTGGATCATTTTGTTGTTGCATCCCACAAAACCATTTCACAACAAAACAAAGACCATTATTTTTCCAAGAAGTATTCCTCACATATATTTTTTCTAAGAAATTTAATCTAGTATTCCAACGTTGGAGCTGGAAATGCATAGCAGACCCTCAGTATCTGAGAGGGGAAGATGGGTTAAACATTGGAATGTCGTTGTACGAATGAGATAACAGATTGTGGTGTTTTATGAAGGGATTAGTCTTTTTGTGTTCTAAGTTTGTTGGGGGGAGCAAGTGTGTCCTTCAATGTTTTAAAGGTGAACCGAATGAGCACTCTTGCCTTCTCTTCAAAGTCTCTCAATAGCTGCTAATAGATTTCTTTTGAAGAAAAGCTGAGTCTTCAGATAATTAAGTAGTTTATCTTCTTTCCTTTGATTTCCTTATTCTTTAATCTCAAAGTTCTTCCATGATCTTCTCCGAAGAACAATGTATTAGAATATTCAGTTTCAGGCTTTGGAGGCATTTTCCATAAGGAATACCAAAACCGTTTGGATTCATTCCTTAGAAAAATAGCCACATCGGCATCCTCTGATGGCTGCTCATAAATAACTGGTTTCATATTGTCGTAGGCCTGAATGAAGATTGCCTGAAACAAGTTAAGCAGGATACAGATCATGATCACTAGAAATAAACCTAGGAAGAGACCACCAAGAAACCTGCTATATGAAAAAGAAGTGTGCTGAAAAGTAGTTGCACAGTATGCCATGATAGTTTGTGCTGCATGAGGGATGGTGTTGTAATTCGTATCAAATTGACCAAAGACCAAATGGCCAAAGGACACAAAGATAAAAAAGTAAATTGCTGCTATTAAAGCCATGGAATAGATGCTTGGGAGTGCTGCAACAATGGACTTCTCTGCCAAGCGCACGTTGTAGAGGAAACGGGTGTACCTGAGAGTCTTCAGAATAGTTATGAGAATTAAAAATGCAACATTGAATCTTAACAGCTGATCCAAGGCAGAAATCACATGAAAAGGAATAAAAGATATTGGGTTTTTCATGTAATAGTTAATTACATTTCTTGCCAGTATAAATTTGGACACATAAAGTAATATTGTTACTAGCAGCAGGACTACTAGAACCAGGTTGACAAGATTCGCAACCTTTTTAAAATAATTTTCCCTATCTTGATACATCATCCAACATGCCACTGCAACAAAAATTAACAGGAGAAGGATGAGCACAGTAGTGATAGGGAGCCAATTTTTCTTATCTCTATCAAAAAGCCGGAGGGAGAAAGATTTCACATTCAACTTCCTGTTGACTGTACCTAGTGGAATCATTTCAAAGATAACTGAAATGGTACAAAACAAATCAGAATTTGGGTTGTAGATGGTGGTTTCAATGATAACAGCCCACGTGCTCCTATCTATCCAGCTGGCATTGTGGAGCGACTCCATTAATCCTACCGAAGCTTGCAAGTTTGAAGAGAAATAAACTGCGTAGCCTCCCAATGGATATGAATGATAATCACCCCTGGAAGAAAAGAACCAAGGGGAACGGTAATTTTCATAAATCCACCCTGTGTAGTTTAATGGATCTTTGACAGGTCCACTTTCCTTATCCACAACCGAAGTCCACGCCCCTTTGTATTCCCTTTTATCCTGCTGACTGATATCAAATAAAGCATGACAACGCTCCTGCCTCAGTGGTGTTTTGAGCATATAATTATACTTTCCAAAGCAAGGGACAGATTTTTGTTTTGACCTAATCTGGCGCATTCTTGGCAAACCAATCATATGGTAATTGTTTGCTGTCAAAAAATTGTGCTCCCTGTCAGTGTGGATCAATGGCAGAAACGTCGCTGTCATCCAGGTGTAGACTTGTTCAATTGTGTTGATGGTTAAAAACTCTTCAGAGAATTTTATCCGAATCATTTGGTTATAATGAAATGAATTTTTGTAGTCTTCGTAAGAGATTGCATATAACAGTAACACAAGGAATATCAAGTGAGTGACAGCCCGTATGCAAAATATTAAAGCTTTTGTCCTGATTACACTTTGTCTCTTTGCTATTATTAATTCATCAGGATTTGGTGCTCTGTGCTGACGCATTTCCTTGGGTATGATCGCACAACATTCATCCCTGATCTTGTACATTTTCTCCACATCTGTCTGCAGCCAGTTAGCCCCGGTTAACCAGTCAATCTCTCTGGCGTGCCTGGGACGCAAGGCATATAGGAGAGAAAAGCCTGCGATTTTCAGAGGTTGCAAAATAAATACACTCTGCAGGAACGAAGTAACGGAAGCAATCAGCCAATGCCAGGATTTCAGCAAGCCATAATGAAGACCATATAAGATTATGAAAACTGCTGCAGTTATTGAGATTGACCACACAATGAACCAAGCAAGATACAAGACATAAAAAGGAAGTCTACTGCTTGTTTTTTTATGAAGAACCATGTTGCTGGAATCTAAGGGGTCCTCCTCCAACTTCAGGGAATGTCTTTCTTTCTCACCTTGCAGGGAATGTTTATCCTCTTTCCACTGTAAAGAAACTTTGCCCTCGCTCTGTAGGGAATGCCTGGCTTCCTTGTTTTTGTTTACTTTGAGTTTAGTTGGAGGATGTTGACCAACATGTTTCGATTTACTTCTATATTTCTTTGTGTTGGTATTAGTTTCTGCTGCAGTATCATCAATGGTAATTTTATCTGCTACAGATTGTGGCATGGTGCAGTTCATGATCGCTTTCCTTGGTTGATTTTCCACCTTGTCCAGCCCAGCAGTATAAGACAGCAAATTATAAATGTCATCATCTGCAGCTTGTGTGGGCTCATTGAGGTTCCCCTCAGTCTTTGGATCAGCTTCATCATCCACATACCATTTCTGTAAGCGATCCTTCCAGTTCTTGTTCTGCACAGACTTATCCAGCTTTGGTTCCTGTTGTATGATTTCATAATGTGCTTTTTGAAATTCTTCGTATTGATGTTTTGCATCTGCACGTTGTGCATACTTCGCCTTTTCTTTTTGAGCATAAACAAACAAAGTAGCTATAAGAATCTGCACCGGCACCATTACTAATGCACTTTCAATGCCAATTACCAAAGATCGCCATAATCTTGTCCGAAAGGGTCCAGTCCCCTCTTTTTGGTAAAGCATAATGCTGGTGAGAAGGCTGCTCAACAACATTGTCAAACAGCAGGCCAGTCTCTGGTGTCTGGTGAAGCTCGGATCACTTTTGAAGCTGAAGACAGAGAACCATAAGTGATCGGTTTCTATATTGGTTGAAAAATCAATGAAGAAGGCATCACGGCGTGATATGCGAGTCTCAGGTTGTACAGCTGGAAAGGTCCTATCTAATAAACCATCACCCTTTTCAGCAGCAAACCACTTTCTGCACACAAAGAACCAGAGCTTTTTGGTGAACACATTTTGCACTTTAACTCTGCTGAGGTACCACGCTGGTGAGTGGCCAGCAGTTTTGCACCAGACCCTGATGGAGGTGAGGTCCCCGAGATCCTCCTCAGTGGTGAGAAGGAAGGTGTCCACACCAGCTCTTAGGAAGATTTGATGATCTGGATGTTTGAGATGATGGACGTCACTCTGGAAACATTTACTTACCAGGGTCAGGAAAACATCTGCTGTTGTGCTAGAGTCAGGCCTAGCCCCTGTGTAAACTGTCACAAGATAGCAAAAGGTTTCACAGGGATCATTGTCAAGCAGGACGATGACTTTGCTGACTGATGCTTTGTCACTCTTTCGCTTTCTAAAAGCCCATATAGCTATTATAAAGTACAGCAAGAAGATGATTATTACTGTAACAATCGTCACCACATTCCTTGGGAGTGTGTCAAGTAACTTCCTTGTATCGTATAAATCCACAAGTTCTGGGAGCACCAGAACACTTGCTGTCAGGAACCATGGAAATCTGAGGAGTCTACTTTGCCTTCTAGATATTTTCTTCCTAACACTCTTACAAATGCAGTGAACTCTCTCATTGTTGGTTAGAATACCAGTTTTGCAAGAGCTTGTGTGCCACTTGTCAGAGTCCCCTTCGAAAGTTAGACAATTTGCTGTAAAAAAAGAAATGCCTATTCCTCTTTTAAGTAGGCGACCAGCCTTGGGGTAGTTGGTTTCCACGGTGATGGTAACATAGTTGATTCCTGTTGCATTATCGGGTTCCTTCTTGAACAGATTGATTGGAATGCGAAAAGCATAAGGATCCCATATGTGAAAGGTCCTTCCTTTTAGTATAGTCTCACCTGATTCGCACTCTGGGATTATAAGTGTTTGTGCTGCACTCTGTTTGGTAGAATCTTTGCCCGAGTATATATTAATTTCAAAGATTGGGTTTGGTTCAGCAACTAGCTGAACAAATGCTTCTGAAACTTGGCTAGGGTCAATTCCAGCATTGAAATGGCCAATTATCACACCAGTTTTCACCGTATCTTTGGCTAGTTTGATGCGCTTTGGTTCCACTTTAACTTTTCTCATTAGAATTGTTTCTAGCTCCTCCGGATTCAAATCCTTTACTTGTCCATTTTTGTCAATGACAAACATATCAAAGGCGGTTACATCTGTAACAATATGAGCCGATTTTCCAAGCCAGGGCAAGGGATTATCTTTAAATTCATAAACCGCAGAGGAGACAGGATCTTTGCCTGACGAAGAGGTTTTCGACAATGATGGGTAGATGCAGTTGAGACAATTTGTATCGGTAAAGTACGAATCCTCGACTTCCTCTTTCTCGTTTTTCTTTATAGTTATTCCCCATTCTTTAACCTTCATGAAAGTGTTTATTTCTCCTGGTACTTTGCCGTTAGACACTGACTCCGTCAAAGATCTTAAAGTAGGGAAGACTTTATTGGTCACTTCTAGCTGGGCTGAAGTCAGTGTTACACCTGCATCCGTGCCGCCCTTTGGAAAAGGCAATAAGAAGGCAGCCATCACATTGGCCCCTGCAGTCATGATGCCAGCAGACAGACTCTCAGTGCTCTCAGACCCAATATTTCCTAACGTATAGTTATAGAGAGATGATGAAAGATCCTGCAATTTTCTCACAGCAAGCACCTGAGAATTCTTATTGACCTCGTTCTTCTTCTTTGCAATTTCAAAAATTGAAGCTGCTATTTGGGTGATCAACAAAGGGGATGTGATTTCCATGGCAACAGTTCCATTCAAGAGAGTTTCACGAAACTGGATGACTTTGGTCAGTTCTTTACCTTTGAAATTCCGATCGTTTAGCACAGAACCTATTATATAATACATCTGGTTGACTTCCACGTAGTCCGTCCCGTGGAGAAGAATTGTCAAAGGTGTAGTCTTTCCTTCCACAAAAGTCAACAGTTTGTCCACTATAGATCCGTGCAACCAATCCACTGTCAAATCGTCCACTCTGACCTTTAGGCTGACTGCTGAATATGCCCCAAGATCGTCAAAAACCTGAACCTGGATGAGAAGCAGACGTCGGCCAGTGGACACACCGATTGGAAGCACTATTGGTGGGCTGATGGGTTCAAATCCAAAATATACAATTGTACCGAGAGCTTTGTTCTGCAAAGTATTTATAGTGCCGCTTTGGTAAAATGCCACTGCTGTAATCTTGTACCGTAGCGGTCCATTTGAGTCATAAAACCCAGAGCATCGCACGGTAAATTTGGTGCGCAAGGCAATGCCGCGTTTTGGAGTGATGGAACAGGCACCTATTTTAGGGGGAGCATTGACATTGAAGACATATCTGGCTGTGCCAGACGTGCCACCGGCTCTTGTTATCTTAAGTTCAAACACATACAATGTGTCTTGGCTCCCCAGAAACGTTTTTGCGTTTACGGAAATGTACACTAGAGATCTTCCTGTGGCAGTGTTGGACCAGTCAAAGCTGATCTTGGTGAATTGGTCTCCTGAAAGCAGACTCCATTCGTACTTTAAGCTGTCAGAACAGTTTGTGCAAATGCCAGACAGAATGAAGCGTTCTGTTGGTATAATGTACTTTTCACAGTTCTCAATGCATTCAATGGAAGTCTCCGGAAGGGTGCCAGATACCACCTTGATGATTTGGTCAAAATAACTCTCTCTATTATCTTTTTTAATCACCAGCCGAAAATGGTATATCTTATCGAGTCTGAATCTTCTGGGAATAATGTTTAGAATCTGAGGTATTCCTGAGATCAGGTTAAATGTCCTTTGCCTCCTGAGGCATTGACTCCTGGGGATAAAATCATTTTTTTGTAATCTGAAGGGTTTGTGGTGCAATACCAGGTGAACACGAGACTTTCGTGCTGGGAAGCAGAGTCGGGGTCTGCACTCTCGTAGCCGTCTAGTACCAAGACGCGGTGAGAGGCGACAATTCTGTAGGAGCCGCCTGCGATCAGCGCCACCAGCTCACTGCTGGTCACCCGGACGTGGACTTGATCCGAGTTTTGAAGGAATGGTACGTTGGGGTCCGAAATCGTCATATTCACGTGGAAATCAAAGAGGTACAACCCGGTGTCGAAGGTGCGCAACGGGACGTGCAGAGTGGCAATGTTGGACAGCAGGTTGGAGGGCAGTGCCACACTCATGTTCTGGGCGGGCAGTGCCAGCAGGTTTGGCACCCGGTAGACCTGCCAGGTCAGGCGGACTGACACGATGACGCGGCAGCTCAGCCCCGCCTCCGCGTACACATCGAAAGGATAACCCTTTCTGGCGATGATGGCCTTCTGGGGGGGAAGCGGCTTCTGGATGACCGGGTGAGGGGTCTCGCAGGCGTCCCGGACGCATAAGATCTCCGAGTCCGCGGGCTGCGGGCGGTAGGAGCCGACACTGGCCGTCAGGCGCACCGACCTCCTGGCGGGGGCGGAGCAGCGGACCCGGGCCACGAAACCCGCGTACAGCCGCGGGTCGAAGCGCAGGGTCACGCGGGGGATGTGGGTCTGGGCCTCCCTGACCGCCTGCCCGAAGCCGTAGGTCGTGGTGTCGACGGCGCCCGAAGCGCGGCTGACGTTGAGCGCGAAGGACCAACCGCACCGGATCATCGGGTGTTGGGCGGGAATGAACCAGACGAGGCTGACGGTGCCGCCGGGCCGGGCCGAGCCGCTGTCGTACAGGGACAGGGAGGCGCCCATGGCCTCGGTGCCGAGGTAAAGGTTCGCTCGGCGGTTGAGGTAGAGTTGGACGGTGACGACGTACTGGTCGGCGCTCCGGTAGTCCAGTCTGAAGAAGTGAGTGATGTCGCCGTCCCGGAGCAGCAGCGAGTGCTCGGTCTGGAGCCGCGGGGGCACCGTCTTGGTGTAGTATAGGGCGTTCGTCCCGTCGACGTAGTACAGGGCCCTGACGCTCAGGGTGGGGTGGAGGGTGAGGGAGAAGCTACTCCCCCGGTGGTCGACGCTCAGGACCCCGCGCTCCAGGCGGACGATGCCGGTCGAGGCTCGCACGGTGTCGCTGTCCGCCCGCAGCAGCAGCAGCGCCCGGGCCACCTGCTGCCCGGCCAGCGGCCGGGGCGCCGCGCACAGCCGGGCCGGGGCGGCGAGCCGGTGCCGGGTCACGTTCCAGGCCTGGCTGCCCGGGGCCTGCGAGGCCAACTCGTAGCTCACCCCGAGCGGAGAGGCCGCGTCCAGGCGCCAGGACAGCCGCAGCCGCTCCGACCGAAGGTTCCGGACGCCCGACGTGGCGCTCAGGAGCCCCATCAGCTCGGGCTCCAGCGAGTGGGCGAGGCTGAGGTTGAGCGCGGGGCCCGCGGGGCTGCTCAGGGCGCAGCTGTAACTGCCGGCCCGAGGGAAGTGGACCCGGGCCACGTAGGCGTAGCGGCCCGAGCACTGCGCGCGCTCGTCGGCCGGGACCCCGCCGGCGGGCAGGGGGCTGTGGCTCGGGCTGGAGAGGTTGAGCGAGGCCGGGGAGCCGCCCGCGCAGCTCAGGAGGTAACTCCAGTCCTCGCTCTTGAACAGCGCGCACCAGACCAGGCCCAGGTCCTCGAACTCCACGGCCGGGCTCCGGGGGGAGGTCAGAGCGAAGAGCAGCACCGCCTGGGCCGCCAGGGAGACGCGGATCTGCCGGTAGCGACACTCGGGGCAGGAGGCCGAGGTGTAGTTCACGGTGATCACTGAGCTGGTGTTGGGCGTCGCCAGCGTCTGGGCCCCCGACCACTGGCGGGTGATGGCGGGCGGCGCGTCGGCCACCGCCCAGCGGCAGGTCGGGGGGTCGCCGGTGGCCGGTACCGAGGCGCTGGGCCGGTAGGTGAGGGTCACGGTGGAGGCCCACACACACGTGAGGCTGACGGGGGAGTCGAGCAGATGCAGCTCCTTCTGCGGACACTGCAGCTCCATAGGGGGGGCGACTGTGCCCGTCTGAGGCTCCACTCCCACCAGCGTCAAACACAGCACCAGCAGCACAGCGAGACCCATCCTCTCACTCTCTCACTCACTGCTCCTCACTCACTCACTCACTCACTCTCTCCTCTCACTCACTCCTCACTCACTCTCTCCTCACTCCTACTCACTCACTCACTCCTTCTCACTCATTCTTCCTTACTCTCCTCCTCACTCACTCCTCTCACTCTCCTCTCACTCTCTCTCACTTATTCATTCACTCACTCCTCACTCGTTCACTCCTCACTCACTCCTCACTCACTCTCCTCTTCACTCCCTCACACACTCCACTCACTCACACTTTCCTCTTCACTCACACACTCACTCCATCACGCACACTTTTCACCCTCTTCACCCTCACATATTCTCTCCACTCATACTCCCTCCCTCTCTGTCTCTCCCTCACACTCCCTGACTCTCAGGGTCACGGTTGGAGGCGTTGGGTTGTTGGCCGGTACACGTCAACGGGCACAGAGTGAGCCCCGCGAGGTGTCGGTGTGTGCGGGACATTCCGGTGTTGGAGACACCGTGTACTTAGTTAGAGATAAGAAACGGCCATTTGGCCAGGCTGGTCAGTTTAGCTCCTTAACCTGATCCAAATCCTGTGCCGTCTCCTTCTGAAAGCTTCTGGTGCATCTTCTATAAGTAAATATGTTATTTCTATGAGTAAACGTTACTCTATGAGTAAAAATATGTGATTCGTTTAGCATATTCTATTATAAACACGTTGTTCTATTACTGTTACTCTGAGTAAAATATGTAATTCTGAAAGTAAACATGTTATTGTACGAGTAAAACATTCTGTTCCTAAGCTTTGCATTCTATTTGAAAACATGGTCTGTTTATAAACATGGTTTACATGGTCTATTAGTAAACGTGAATAAAATATCTGTTCTATTAGTTAAATTTATCTGCTATTCTATTCATAAAACATGCTATTCTATAAATAAAATATGTGTTGATCAGTTCTTGTTGTTCTTTTCAATTTTAAGTTTACATTCACTTGGTCTTTTTTGGTTTAACTGAAGAAACGTTACTGTTTATTCTACCTGAACACTATAATAACCATGTAATAATAATGATCCTTACATTTTGTGTAGCACCTTTCACCATACACTGTAAAGTGCAGTAACTGTGTGAGTTTTGTGCAATGCAGAGACTGTGTGTGTGTTGTGGGCAAATGATATAATCCTGTATTTACTATACATCAAACTGATTCTTTCCAGACTCCTTCTTTCTAGCTTTGTCCCCACAGTGGTAGGATGGGGCGAACATTATGTAATTTAGCAGTGAGTACTGAAACCTGCTCAGCCATTAGGGGAAAAGTGTTTCCCCAAACAAGGAAAATACTGCACACAATTTAACTGTTCAAATACTGTCTCAGTGCTAATATCAACAGAGAGCTGAGATATGGTCACTTTTTCATTTTCGTGACTGGGAAAAGGATATTTGGTTTAAAGAGGAAGAAACAAATATGTTAAGGAGTTTTTCTCAGATATTTTACTCAAAGAATAACAAATATTTTACTCATAGAATAACAGAAGTGTGTCAGTCTGGCACTCTCTGCTCTGAGTCAGAAGGTTGTGGGTCAAGGTCCACATCAGGACTTGGAATCACATCGTCTAAGTTGATGCTCCAATGCAATGCTGGAGGAAGCACTGCATTGTCGGAGGTGCCATCCTTTGGATGAGATATCAACCGAGTTCCCGTCTGCCTGTTCAGGTGGACATTAAAGATTTCATGGCAGTGTGTGAAAAGAGAAGGGAGTTTCTTCCGGTGTTTTGACGAAGAATCCCTCAGATAGAATTGGTCATTCACTTCATGGCTGTTTGTGGGGCATTGCTGTGTGCAACTGGCTGTCGCGTTTCATCCACAAAATAATAATAATAATAATAATCCTTACGTTTGATCCTTGCCTTATCACCTCATCGAGATGTCTCAAAGCACTTCACAGAATATACTGTAAATGGATTGACTGTATGTTTTGTGGACGAAGCACAAACAGTTGTGGATTGAGTGACCAATATATTTTTAAGGAATTATTAACCCCCGAAAGCCATCCACCAATCGACTATTTCAGAGGCGTGTGGAATAGGAAAACTTGCCTAAGGTTTGACCCCGCTCAGGCATCGATCCTGGGTCCTCGCTCGCGAAACGAGTGCTCTAATCAATATGCTACAGGACGCCATAGTTCTGTAGGGTATTGGTTAGAGCACTCCCCGGTTGATCCACTTTATGACATAATAAGATGCTATAACGAATGCAAGGATTATTAATATTATCAAAGGTAAACTGTTCACACACCATATTATGTGCTGAACAAATAAAGTAGAATGCTTTTGACATGAACACAAATGTCGCACTTAACTATCGCTGCTATACAAATGTAATGTTGTCGTTATCGTTTATTACTTCTCACTCCTTCTGTCACACCCTGGGAAAAGTCTGCACTGCTTCCTCTCCCCTTATCTTCAAACCCCTCTTTAAAAATCCATCCCTTCAATTGTGCTTTTGGTCTTTAAATCTCCCTTTCTTTGCTCCGTGGTCTTTATATTTTTAAAATGCTTATGTGAAAGGCTGCGTGCAAGTAGTTATCCTCTTTACTAGTCAAACATCTGATCAAAAAGAATGAATGCACTCTTGCCTGCGAGTCAGAAGGTTGTGGGTTCAAACTGAAAGTTGGACTTTGAACTCACAGTTTAGGTTGATGCTCCGATGCAGGGTTGGGAGTGCGCTGCATTGTTTGAGGTGTCATCCTTTGGATGAGACATTGAATCGAGGTCCAAATCGTTCGCCTTTTCAGGTGAACGTTAAGAATCCTACAGGGAGTTTCTCATGGTGTCCTAGACAGGGTTCCGTTTTCACTGAGAAACCAAAAAAAGACAAGTTTCACAGGCCTCTGGATAAGATGCTTCCTGCAAGGACCTCAGGATATTTGAACCATTAAAAAGCCAGGGTTTGAGAGGTATTTCCAACCTAGGAAAATGGAAGGTCAAAGCCAGGAGGAGACTGTGACTGGCAAGAGGAAAGCCTGAGCAACTCTACCATCTGCTAGGAGCAGTATGGGAAAGCAGCAAGATTTTCTAAAATGCCCAAACACTGGTGAGAAATCTACACCTCTTCCTGTGAGAGTACGCTGAGATACAGATCTTTTGTTAAATTTTGATGTTGCCCTCTTATTCAAGTTAGAATGTTTTCATGAAGTTTGTAGCCGGCACTGCTGTTAATCTTTTTTGTGTAGAATAATGACATTTAGAAGACAAATAAATATGCAGAATGGAGTGAGCAACATGAGGAGATAAATAAATAATAATCCTTGCATTTGATAGAGCGCTTTTCATGTCTTCCAGATGTCTCAAAGCGCTTCACAGAATATACTATAAAGTGAATTGAGTGTATATTTGTGGGCGAATCACGGCAGCCAATTGCACACAGCAGTGTCCCACAAACAGTAGAGGATTGAAGTGACCAATTTTCCAATTTTATTATTTTTTTTCTTGAGGGATTATTATCAGGCGTGTGGAGTAAGGAAACTTACCCATGGTTTTGCCCTGCCGGGAATCGAACCCAGGTCTCTCGCTCGCGAGGCGAATGCTCCAACCACTGGAGCTACAGGACTCCTACGAGATATGAGTGACTGATTAGCAGCAATGCCCAGCCTGGTCTAAATACTTTCAAAGGTAAGAACCCTCGCTGTAAATCAGCTATGGTGCTTCCTTCGCGTCGCACAATTTATTTTGGTCAGACAGGTGTCTGACAACATGTGGAAACCTATCACCAAGCTTATGAGTATCTAAATCAAGCTGAGATTTCTATGCACTCCACCGATACATGAAAACTGCAGAGATAAATTGGTGGAATGGAATGCGCACTCTCTCCCAGTAGTGATACATCCTGCTTACCTAGTTTGTCGTTTGACATCCGACACGTGCGAGTTCGAGCCCTCACTAGATGGATGGCAGGCACATGAACTCCCTGCATGAGAGCATCGCCACCGTCTTCCTGTCCGCAGCTCAGGCACATCCCTTCCCGTTGAGCAATGGTTCCCACCGATTGGAGATGCAGAGTTTAAGCAGCGGCTGCTTGCCTTTCTGCAAACCAATCCTGGTGGAGTCCAGGCACAACCTGCACTGACTTTGAGATCACAATGATCCTTGTATTTGATAATAGCGCCTTATCACGGCTTCAAGACATCTCAAAGCGCTTCACAGAATATACTGTAAAGTGAATTGACTATATATTGTGGGCAAAATATGTAGTAACTGAGAGGAGGCTGCAGCATAAGACTAATATATACTCTTAGATCAATCTATTGCCATTTTAAATGTATGCACTCTGCATTGACAACAGTTTACCACAGAGAATACCACATTCCAACCTTCCTTTGTGTAAAGAATTGTTTTAAATCTCCCCTTTAATTCCTTTGCTGATTATCAAATTTGTTCCGGACTCTCGAAGCCGTGCAAATAATTGACTCCTATTCATCTCCTCTAACCCTTCAACATCTCTGAGGTCACCTCTTCATCTTATCAGCCTCAGTGAAAAAGATGGGCTACAGAGGACATCTAGTGGTCATAAAGCAGAATACAGTTAAGAACGAAGAGGATTTTTAGCTCAATTGTATCAATAACAACAATCGTTGCATTTGATATAGAGCCTCATCATGTTTTCGAGACGTTCTCAAAGCACTTCATAGAATATACTATGATACTCTGAAAAACGGCAGCCAATTGCGCACATCAGTGTCCCACAACCAGTTGTGGAATGAGTGACCAAATTATATTTTTTGAAGGGATTATTACCCCTGGAAAAGTGATCCGCCAATCAACTAACATCCAGGCTCCAACTTACTGCAAGATAAACAAAGGCGTGTGGAGTAAGGAAACTTGCGAGTGCGCTAACCACTTCCAACAACAACAAGATTCCATTTATAGAGCGCCTTTCACGTCGGGAGGACGTCCTTGCACGAGAACACTCTGATGCTCGCAGTTTTGATTCCCAAGTTACTTGGGGAAGCTTGTGTTCAAAAAATGAAA